CGAACATTGGAAGCCGCAAATGCAAGCAAAGAAATGGGCAGCCAAAATCTGACACAATTCTTCATCCCGTTGCTGGAACACTTCGTTTTTGGAAGGGCTGACGGCGGTGATGATCATGGACTTGGTGCGCAAGCTGCAAGCACAATCAGCAACTTGGCCATGTCCTTGAACTGGAACCACTTCCGCACAACTTTCCATCGGTACATTGGTTACATTGAATCGAGACAGGAGCAGCAGAAGCATACCATCCGCCTTTTGGGTAAATTTACTGATGCTCTCTTGCTGTCGTTGCCTGAAAGCCCGGATGCCGAAACGATGGAGGTAGACCAAGAAGAAAGTTCATCTTCTGCGGTACGACGGTTGCGTCTCATGGCTCCAAAGCCCACTGAATTGGCTACCCAGATCATGGATTACTTCATACCACCACTCGCCAAACATTTGCATCAAAAAGATGAATCCGAGGTCAGCTACCGTGTTCCCGTTGGTATCACCATTGTCAAGCTCTTGAAACTGTTGCCTGGCCCGCAAATGGATCAGAAGCTAGCTGGTGTTTTGACCGATATTTGTCATATCTTGCGCAGCAAAGCTTGGGAGGCAAGGGAGATGACTCGAGATACTCTTGTCAAAATTGCTGTCCTTTTGGGCCCTTCGTTTTTCGGATTTATTCTGAAGGAGCTTCGAGGAGCCCTCACTAAAGGCTACCAACTGCACGTCCTCTCATACACTGTGCACTCCATCTTGGTTGCCACCGTGCCTCACTTCGCACCTGGTGACCTTAATCCTTGCCTGTCATCCATTGTCACTGTTGTCATGGACGACATATTTGGTGTTGTTGGCCAAGAGAAGGATGCTGAGGGCTATGTTAGTCAGATGAAGGAAGTTAAGAGCAGCAAGAGTCAAGACTCGATGGAGCTAATTGCCAAGAACGCATCCATAAGTCGCCTCATTGAGCTTGTACGGCCGCTACAAGCCCTTTTGCTGCAGAAAGTCGATTTGAAGATTGTCCGCAAGATTGACGCCCTGCTGGCCCGTATCACTGCAGGTCTTTTACAGAATCCAGCCACTGAAAGCCGTGATACTTTGGTATTTTGTTACGAGGTTATCCAGGAAGTGTATAACGCACGAAACCCAGTGGCTGAACCGAAACTGGACTGGAAAACTCGAAGATATCTAGTCCAGAGAGGAGCCAAAAAGAGTGGCGACCGAGGCCAGACCAGCAAGCATACGTACAAGCTGACTCGCTTCGCATTTGAGATGCTGAGATCGATATTGAAGAAGTACGATAGCATTCGAATTCCTGAGAACATCTCTGGTTTCATTCCCATCGTTGGTGATGCCATTCTGGAGGGCGAAGACGAGGTCAAGATCTCAGCGTTCCGACTTTTGGCCGTCATCGTTAAAGTTCCCTTTGGAACTGCTGATGGGGCAAATATCTACAAGATTGCCGTCAAGGAGGCCACTAGGTGCATCTCAATGTCAACTTCGACCACGACTGACTTGGCGCAAGCGGCTTTGAAGATGCTTGCTGTCGTGCTGAGAGATCGACGAGATATTGAGGTCAAAGATGCTGCTATCGATATGCTATTGGGGAAGCTAAAGGACGACTTCACAGAGCCCCTGTATCGACACATCACTTTCAACTTCTTGCGATCTGTGCTCGACCGCCGCATTGAGACTGCGACAGTCTACGACACTCTGGATCAGGTCGGCACAGTCATGATTACCAACGATGACAAGGACACACGCGATCTGGCACGAGGCGCATTCTTCCAGTTTATCCGGGACTACCCTCAGATGAGATCTCGTTGGACAAAGCAACTCAACTTCGTGGTCGCTAACCTCAAGTATAATCGCGAAGGTGGCCGCATTTCAGTCATGGAAGTGATACACTTGCTACTCATGAAGTCATCCAGCGACTTCATCCAAGAAATTGCGGCCACATGTTTCCTGCCACTCTTCTTGGTTCTGGCGAACGATGACAGTGAGAAGTGTCGCCTCGCGGCTGAAGCGCTGATCAAGGAAATTTTCCGCAAGGCTGACAAGGAGCGAGTTATCTCATTCCTTAACCTGCTTCGGTCATGGCTTGGCAAAGATGGAAATGCCACGGTCGTCAAGCTTGCCGTGCAACTCTTTGGCTATTACTTTGAATGTCATGAGGACGCCGTCAAGAACCAGACTGACTTCAAGCTCATCTTCGATAAAGTCATGGCAATTCTTGGATCCGAAGATGTTCGTGATGTTGACGGAGGACTTGTTGGTGCAGCTATTGGTGTTGTACGCATATTCGTCACCAGTTTCCCTGATAAGACCTTGGCTGCCAATAGGGAAGAACTGTGGGCCAAACTACCACACTGTCTTGGGCACAGCGAGACCTCAGTCAAGTTGGCTGCTATTCAGGTGATCAGCCTGTATCTCGCTGATTTCGCTCAGCGGGGCGCCGGCACTTCTGCAGGCGAAGATGTCGAGGGATCCCATGGCCTTACGCTCCGGACTGGTAATGTGGAGGAGCTCGTGCGCCTCGCACTCAGGGCCTTGAATGGTACTGAGGTTAATGAGGGCTTGGCAAACGAGCTTGGGCAGGTCCTCATATTCCTCGGCCCCCGTCTCCCTATTGGAGACTCACCCGATTCCTCGAATGCCGAATCAGAGGCAGATGAGCTGGATGCTGAAGACAAGGAGGAGCCTAGTGCAAAGCCCAAAGATTTACAGTACTTGTTCTGGCGCCTATCACACATTCTGCGCAAGGAGATTCGTCCCAACTCTATTGCCATCATTCCCAAGGTTGTCGCCATGGAGGTGCTGGAGACAATCTGCCGCCGCTCTTCCCTAGAGCGACTCCAACCTTCGCTTAAAACCATCCTGACGCCGCTGCATAATCTCACTGACCCTTCCATCCCGGCACCTTTCAGCATGGATGAGGTGTTCAAGACGAAGCACGAAGGTCTCAAGACAAGGGCACAGATTATGATGGATTCTCTGCAGAAGAAGTTTGGCACCGCCGAGTACAGCAAGCAGCTCATGTCCATTCGTGAGGAGGTCAAGGCGCGCCGACTGCAGCGATCAAGCAAGAGGAAGATTGAGGCGGTAGCGCAGCCTGAGAAGTACAACAAGGACAAGAGGAAGAAGTTTGAGAAGAACAAGGAGCGCAAGAAGACGAGGTCAAAGGAGCAGAAGGTGATGAGGCAGGCTTACAAGACGTGGTGAAAATGTACATGGCACGGTATATGCTATCATGTGGAAGAAAAATATGGCGAGCGGCGTTTTTAAGTATGGTTTACTGGGCATTTTCGGGCGTGTTTTGAAAAAACTACCTTGTGGTTCTTAATCAATATATAGATACATAGGTATATATGCTGCTAGAAATAAATGTAGGGATCAAAAATAGATTCCTTTAGACTTCCCCTTTGATGCCGTCGCTTCTTTTTGAAAAATGTAGGAGTTTTCCTGCCAATGGCCCCCAACGCCGTGTATATGACTTTTACATACTCATACAATGTCCTGCCTCATAGATGACTTGAAGATCCGATCAAGGTGGCTTCACTCTAACACCACCATGGTTGGTATATGCACGCTCAATATTCCAGCCTTTTTATGCCGATCCCTTTGTGTTTTTGCTCGCATCCTCAGCCAAGTCCTCCAATACCACTTCCTCAGGCCAGAACTCAATATCTCCGTCCTCGCCCAAGGAACCTCTCTTGACCAGCTGGCCCTTTTCCCTCATCAAGTCCTCAACGGTGATTTTCCGATCGCCAAAGATATTCAAGTGGTCGCTTATCACATGCCTATTACGACAGCTCGGGCACGTAATCAGCGTAGAGCCATGATGGTATCCCTGTTTCGAGACGTTGTGGTGCGAGCGATGGCCGCACGGCACGCAAGTGAAGGAGAGCTGGTAGAATGCCGGGCCCTTGAGCTCGGGTCGGCCGCTTTCGCTTGCGGGAGAATCTGTGGTGGCGGGTTCCTTTTGCGGGAGCTTGCGAGGAGGCCGGGGGATGGCGTGGGCGAAACGGAGCGATGATGATGGGGCGGGATGCGAGCTGTTGCGGAGAGAGAACGGGCGGAGGGCGTTTCGTGGGGAGAAAGCGAGACGCAGGAGAGGCGCTGTTAGAGGTGCTGATTTTGAAGCCATGGCTGAGAGTGTGATGTTTCTGTTTGGGTGGTGGTGAAGAAAAGATGATTGGTGATGGTGTTGATGGAACTTTGCGATGGAAAAGTTGGTGGAATGCGCTAGACGTCATTGTATGGCGGGTACGTACCGCGGTGCCTTGAAGGTGGTCCGTGCGCATGGGGAACGATGGAGGGATGCGATTTCCTAATGGAGTAATATCGAGGTTATGGTTGTTGAATGATATGACATGATTGATGGCTATCATTTTTTCTCTTCAAGTATTCACAAATATTGGAGAGATACAGTTGATCTTATTCAAGTCTTTAGCCATAGATGATTGGGAAACTCAACAAGTGACGTCTTATGAATGCACCACCAATGATGCCAGACAGAGACGCTCGTGCTGTTATCCAGCAGACTACGAACGAGTGCTCCTCGATGTGAATAAGGGGAGGGGGGGATAGCCTACAAAGACACAGGAGCATCTGTGGCTTTCATAGAAACATTAGGTCTGTGATCATATCTGAAGCAAGTCAATTCATCAAGTTCTGTAGCATCGCCTTCCTAATGTGAAGGACAGTGCTTACCGTAAACTTCACCATCAGCTATCTGCAGTCTCTTGTACTTTCCAGCTTTATATATGCTGATTTTGCCTGACTATATATAATTTGCATCTCACGATCTTTCATCTACTTCGCTTCTTCTCTACTCCATTTCTCTTCTGTGTGTCTCCTTGGTTCCCTTCGTTCTGTCACGCACAACTCCCTGGACTGCCAACTCTTCCCGCAGACTCTCCATTCTGCTTTTCCTATCTGATTGTAATTGCCAACATACAGCCATTCTCAGTCCTGCTCATCTCCAACCATCTTGTAAGACACCACTGCCAGAGAAAATGCATCTCTTCCTCATCATCCAATGGCTCATTCCCTTCATCGGCCTCTGCCTCGCCCAGGCTGATGACCGGGCCCTTGCTCTCTCCTTGATCAACCAAGCTCGTCAGGCTCAAGGAATTCAGCCTCTTGTCTGGAATGCAAACTTGGCCTCTTACGCTCAATACTGGGCAAACATAATGGCCGCTGGTCAGCAGCCCTTTTCGCACGCCCAGGGTACTTATCGGCCTCAACAAGGGGAGACGCTATTCGAATACCAGTCCACCCAATGCGATGCCGCCTACGACAACCCTCTGCAGACAGCCGCCCATACTTGGCTTGCGCAGGCCTCGCTCTACAACGGAATGCCCATCACGGACGGACATGAGCCCTGGCTGCACTGGTGTATGTACCTATCGATGATGCTGTGTAAGATTCAAGAGTCGATATTGACTTGACTTTGCAGCACAGTGTATGTGGTCGACCACGACACAGATAGGCTGTGCTCGAGCCTACAGCATCTCGGAGCCGTACAAGACGTACGACGTGTGCCGCTTCTTTCCGGAGGGAAACATGTGAGTAGCTAGCTATTGGTTCTTCTTTGGGGATGGACTGCTGATCTGTGCCGCTTCAGAGTTGGACAGCGACCTTTTTAGATGGCAGCTATCGAGGACACGCGTGGATGGATGGATGGTGGAGAGTCTCATATTTCTTAGACGAGACGGCTGTGTTGCGCCCTTTAATGGGGTTGGTAGTTGACATTAGCATGATTAGGCCAGTTTAGTACCTTGGTAATTGACAATTCTCTCCTTGCTTTGAGTGATGGAATAGCTTTAACATGTACGTGAAGTGCAAGTTGTTTTTTTGCATCTCCAAATTATTACAGGGTAGCACCAGGTGGCTTGTTTGTAGTGGCTGATGCGCACCTACCCGGCTGCATGCCAGGGGCCCACCGCCTTATGTCAGCAGAGTTCCTCGATCTCTGCAAGGCCCAGCCAAAATTTGGGGCAAGACAAACGACGCGATTGAGAAAACCAATCAACCACGAGTCGCGACAATCGCCAACGCTGTGACCGCCAAACCCTGCGCTGCCTCACTGCTGAGAATTTCTTTTCTTATTCCTCGTCTTATCTCATCAACCCGTTCCATCTCTGTCTGTCTCTCTCTTTGCCATTGCCTGAGAGACTCTCGCCTCTTCGTGTGGTTGCCGCACTGGCTGCAAGCTCTGTCAGCTGCAACTTTTTGCACCAAGCGCGGGGACTTGACCGGCTTGCGCTCGCGTTTCCTCCCTTGCGCCATGAGATAACCAGAAAACATCCCCAGAACCTTCACAATGGAACGATCAAAACCCCAGGCCTTCCTGTCGTCGTATGCGCCGCGATTGCGCACCTACAACAACTCTCTCTTGACTCCCGTCCTACCGAGTGCGCCCACGGGGCCTGTTTCGCGAACAACAAAGCGAGGAACTACCATTATCAACTACGCCGAGGACGGTTATGATGACTTGGATGATGATAGCGACGATCCCAGACGCCGGCCGACGGGCTTGCGAAGCTTGCGCAAGGAAGATTCCGCTACCAGGCTGGACATGGCCGACAAGGTGGGAAAGGATATCAAGGAACCCGTCGACGTCCAGGGCATATGGCGGGATTGGATGGGGAAGAGCCGGTCTGTCAGGAGCGACCAGCAGAATGCCGCCCAAGCAAACCTCCCATTGACCTTGATACCCATACGAATCGACCTGGACATCCCGTCCTTCATCCCGCCTGCGCCGTTCCCGGCTCCGAATCCCAACTCGGTCGACATCTCCCTCCCCCAATACCGACCACAGGAGATGACTGTTCCTTACAAGTTGCGGGACATTTTCTGCTGGAACCTACACGAGACGCTCATCACAACGGATCAGTTTGCGCAGAACTTGGCTCAGGATCTTGACCTGCCCAATAGGCCTGCTGTCATTGCAGAAATTAGCAAGCAGATTCGGACGCAATTGGAAGAATATGCCGGCGTTGCTCTTCACCCGCTCTTCCACTCTGAGCCGTCTGCTGCAGCGCCACCGCCGCCCATTCAAGGAGGGGCGGTAACCGTTGCTGGGGGAAGTGTCATCACAGCAGCCGGAACCCCGAGACCTGGCATATTCAAATCTCGAGACGACTCTCCAGCTTCGTTTGCGAGAGGCGTGTCCCGACCCGAAACTCCTGTGCAGACGGGAGGCCAGGCGACGCCAACACCGCAGCCCCCGGCATCGCAGGCACCCGAGGTCACCGCCGAAGCGACCCCCATCCTGCCTGATTCTGACGAATACAACCCTGACGATACCTATCGATGCATTATCAACCTGAGTCTAAACCTTTCATCCATGCTATACACGGACAAATTCGAGTGGTCACTTCTCCACCCTCCAGGCACAGCTGAAGCTTTCGCAAAGGCGACATGTGCCGATTTAGGATTGGCGGGCGAATGGGTTCCGGCAATGACACACGCCATCTATGAGGCAGTCCTTCGTCTAAAGAAGGAAGCCTGTGAGGCTGGCGGCCTTGTTGGAGGTTGGGGCGGAGCTCAGCAGGAGCTGCCAAACGATGCCGCACATGGCCAGGAAGCTGGTTGGAGATATGACCCTGACCACTTGGCCGATGATTGGGAACCCAAGGTCGAGTTTCTCAGCAAGGAAGAAATAGAGAAGCGAGAAGGAGACCGTGAGCGACAGATCCGCCGGCTGCGGCGTGAAACAGCGCGATTCAGCTCGACGACTGGCATGCTGGGTGGCACTCCGTTTGGCCTGGGCGTGGCTGTCGATGCTGAGGAAGAGAGGATGGGCAGGGGTGAACGTTCCAAGAAGAAGCGGCGTTTCCGAAGTCTGAGCCCTCTGGCCCGTGGCGGAACTCCTCTTGGACGACTCACGCCAGATGTCGGCGGTTACGGCGGAGGAGTAGGAGCCTTGACGGACATGGAGCGAATGACGTGGCGCTGCTCACACTGCCGTACGTGGGGTACGAGCGTCTGGGCGGTTCGAGACGGTCCTGCTGGGCCCAAGGTGAGTTTATATTCTATGTAATTGGTTGTTTGCGTGTTTAATGTGGTGGCTAACGTGGTGTCGCAACAGTCCCTATGCGCCAACTGCGGCTACTTTTACGAACGAGATCGCAGGCTACCTCGCCAGACCAAAAATCTGCACCTGCAAGACATTCGAGCGGTCTAGGAACCCACTGATGAGCCCCGTCACGATGAGGAAGACGAGCAAGGCAAAGGAAAAGGACAAAGGAAAGACAAACGCCCAGTGGTGTCTCGGCATCCATCCTCGCAGGAGAAGGAAGAACAAAAGCAACAAGAACGAGAACTTGTCGTCTCCGACACTCACGCTACTATTACTACTACTACTACTGCTACTACCCCTCGACATACTCGTCGACAACGCTGGCGGCAGCAGCCTTTGGCAGGCCAGCCTGCGTTGCCCGTGTGCCCGCGGCTCACACCGTCTTTGGCTTTCGGACCTTGGTTTGATCAGGGTGTCGAAAGGAGGATGAAGCTGCGTGCAAGGAATGCCTGGGAAGTGAACTTGCGAGGACAGGCTGCATAGGGAGGAGGGGGGTTTGTAATGGCTCAGAGCAATAAAAAGAACTAAAAAAAAGGACGACTGATAGTCGAATTCTCGTGCCTTTCTTCCCCTCTTGAGTTTCGGTTTTTTTCTCTTGTTTCTTTAAATCTTTTACACCATCTTAATTTTCAAGACTCTTTGGGCGTCACGGACATAATGTGGGAGATGGAAAAGGAGGGGGTTTTCCCCCAAGGGTTTCTTGTTATTGCCATGTTCTTTTTTTTTTCTCTATGGAGGAGGCAACGTGTTCAGCTAAGACTAGGAATTGACTTGATGCCTCTTTTCTGAAATGTAAACTATTGATATTTCATGATGAATGTTGAGAGACATGAATAAGAAGAAGAAGGTGTTTAGTAGATTGTAGTCTCGGTTACTACATTGTCCAAAAAGATTGATTTACATGCATGACATGGCATCTTTGAGAAACCCCCAAGATATCCAATTGCCGCCTTACGAAAACCCGTCTATCCATCTCACTAAGCCATTGATTGATGCCCAAGCAAAACCCTCATCATTGGTGTCCAAATAGAAATCTTGCCTTTGGGCGGGTATAATGATACAGAGATATGTTCACTGCCCTGTTCACGTCCGTCATTCCATGGTAATGCCCGTACATTAACCACCATTTTGCTTTCCAAATAAGCGCCATCAACGCATGATACACATGTCCCACAGTTCCTCGGCGGCCTCCTACTGCGGATGGCCGCGGCCGCCGTGCATCATCTGAGAAACATCGACTCCGACCCAGCGAATCTCTCGCGGTTGTTGCGGGCTACGCGTGATGGCCGGAACCCGAGGCGAGGGAGCCGATGGAGAGCTGCCGGGATAGGCGGACTGCTCCATTTTCATGGTTTGAATCTTCCTGCGCTCCCTCAGTCGCTCCACGGTGTCCGCCGAAAGCTGCTCAAAGCTCTGCTTTAGCATGACCGCGTCTTCCCACCGTCGCCCATACACTTCCAAGGTCTGAGGGACGCTCTCGAGGCAGCGCAGACTCCTTCTGATGTTGTCTTCGCCGGCTCTCCCGTTTCGTAATTGGGGTCGCGGAATCGGGGGCGCAGGCGGAGCACCGGGACGGGCTATCGGTATTTGTATGTGTGCGCCAGACAAGAGCATGTCCTCCGAGTCTCTCAGCACTGCGAGAAATTGGTTCGCCATAAAGTATACCTTCAACGCATCGTGGTACGTGTAGAATGCGCCGTTGAGCCCCGCATGGGCAATTTCCTGCATGGTGAGGAGATAGACGAGAGAGTACTCGAATATCAGAGTGCGATGATAATCGTTGATTTCTGGAGCCCTAGCAGAAGGAGCAATGCAGTAAACATAGCTGTACCTCAATTCCTGCTCGAACATTTGCCTTATTCCAGGGGGAAGAGAGGTTGGTAGCGACTCGCCCCATTCTCGCATATCGAGACACATCTGCCAAACAAACGACGCTGGGTCCTGCAAAGGCGTCGCGTAGGACTGGTATAGTTCCTGGTACCAGTATGATTGCGCTCTTCTAAGCTGAAAGAGGAGCAATCCAGGGTCGACGGACTGCGGACCCGAAATCGGACCAGAATCGCCATCTTTGCCTTTGCGATCGAGATCGGCTGCGTTTGGGAACGCAACGTGGACTGCATCGTCGGTGAATGAGAATGTCCGAGCGTGGACCATACTGATGGATCTAGGATTAAGAGTTAGAAGAAGAAAAGCCATTGGCCAAAAAAAAGGGGGCATAAGAGGATGGAAATAGCCCACCGATCAAGAGCATATGTGCAATAAAAGATCTTCCGACGCATATCCAAGGCGGCACGATCGACAACTGTAGACATGGGGGGATCTTGGTGGAACCCAAGATCAATGGCAGCACGAGCTGTGAAGCCTATGAGAAGCCAGCTGTCAAAATGGTTTGGATCCAAAATGGCGTACTGGGTAAGGAGGAGGAGCGATTGGATCTGGGTGGCGTATCCAGGGGCCAAGGCGATGTCGGCGTAGTCCAACGCCCTAGAAACAAAGCTGACACCGAGATTGTAGTAGTCATCGTTGACCTTTTGGCTCTGCATGGTTGATCCAATGGCGAGTATCATGTACAGCAGCCAGTGATCGGATGCGCTGATGGCACGCTCACTTTGCTGGTGATAGATGTCATTCAGGATGTTGAGGGCGGCCGTTTCTGAAAAGCACGGGAAGAGCGGATATATGTTCTTCATAAAGTGATGAAAGATTTCAGTAGCGTATGACTTTTGTGGCAATGGGGATTCAGGCATGCCCGGGATAGGATCCTTGGTTGCTGCGGCCAGGACCAGTCGCGCAAAAGTCATGTTGATAATGGACGGCTCAAAGTCCCGAGTCGTCGCATTGACTGATCTAATGAGCAGAGGTTGTCAGATACACAGAGTTCCGCTTACGAATGCAGGGAGAGGAAAAGATGCCTCTTCGTACAAAAAACCAAAATCGGATATCAAGGAGTTGACATCCGAGTTCTCACGAGTCCTGGCGGCCTTTCGGTGAATAGCTGCCCGGATTGAGGCGAGAGAGTCTCGCCGGTCAACTTGGGCCGTGGCCAGCGACTCGGAATCATGCAGAGCCACAGAAGCCTTGCGGGACTTTGCGTATGTTATGCGTCTTTCCAGCTTTTCGATGCGAAGCTCCAGAGCGGCGACATAGCTGTGTTACGGTCAGCAACTGGGGCCGGGACGGCTTGCGACGACGCACCTCCGCTCCTTGCCTCGCGCAAACTGGTCGTTTGCCGCCGAACAGGCATTCTCACGACCAGCCTTTTCACAGGCCGTACAAGCGGGCAGCTTGCCATCGCACTAGATTGACGAAATTGAGAAGGGTTAGACGTCAAGGACAAGGCGTGCCGCGGTGATGAAGGCGCCGCCACACGGGGTCATGGCCGCACTCACCTTGACTTTGGCAGCTCGACCTGGGCACAAGACACAAGCATCAGCATGGGCTCAACCGGCAAATCCGTCATCCTCATCGCGGGATCGTCACTCACATCTTGAACAGGCTGAGACCGGCCTCGAGACTCTCAGGAGGGGGGTATGTGAGAAGCTACTGCGGGGCATTGCTAGGGCGGATCTGGCAAGCCGCGAGCGTTGAGACGGAGACCGCGAAGCTGGAGAGAATCGCGGACGAGGTGCGGGATATCGTGGGATTTGTGAGGGCACAGGCGGCGGTTTGGCGACGGGAAGGCTGACGAGGCCGAAGGGATTCAAGACAAGAGGTGCATGGTGTAGTTGAGTGGGAATCGCGGGAGGCGGGACACGACAGGCCTTGGAGGGCGGCTTAGCGTCGCTTAGTGGAGGAGCCACTATCGGCCTGGCAGTGACAGCGCCTGGAACAGCGTTGGAAAAGGGCCTGTACAAGTACGAGCACAGTTGATCCTTTGGCGAGAAGTCGATGCTACCTCGAACCGTCCGGAGAGAGAGAGAGAGAGAGTCAGTGCTTGCATAATGTACCTACTATGGGCGTGACAGTGGAGGAGTTTGATTGCATGGATGGACTGTGTCTAGGCTGAATCACTAATCCGACATGCCTCAGTATATTATTGGCCAAGTCAAACATCCATCAATTGATTGCATTGACCCGGATAGCCAGCCGCTGACATGTGGCAGGATACGATGGATCAATGCGATAGACGGGCAGCCTTGCGAGGCCGGACTGTTGTTGGCTCTAGTACGGAGTACCAACAGCTGGGCACAATCAAGGGACTCGAGCAAGTTAGTAGGTACTCGTACAGCAGGTGATGATTGATGCTGATAAATCCTTGCTGCGGGTCTTTCCGACCCGACCTGGAGGCAATCACGTATCCATGGATCAGAGTGAGAGCTACTGTAGATACCTGTACTGTACGCTTCTGCTGCTGTTTGGGATTAATGCTGCGCTAGGACCCGCGAGGAATGAAGACGGGACGGACATGGGACGAGACTGGACCCCTACATTCCGAATCGATCAGTGCCGTTGCACGATCGGTATTAGGCTTTAGGCTTATCGACACTGGATACAAACATAATCAATCTGATACCAGCACAGCTGAAACGAAGAATGGCTGCATTGTATTTCCGCATTTCTGTGGCCATTGATTCTAGGCCTACCGCTTTGATGCCTTATCTGATCAATGTGTTTGTAATTGACTTTGACCCCGGTATTTCTCTCGCCCAATGCCCGGGTACCTTCGTATCTCAAAGTCAAGTACACGTACTCCGTCAGTTCCCAATCGAGGTCTATTTCGCGTTCCTCTCTCTCTCTCATCACATCACAGGCAGCAAGCACCTCGTCAGAAACTGTTGCATGACTGCATACCGACAACTGCATGTAATTAAGTTAATTTATCCAGCTGACATGGCCACATAACCGCGCTCCATAGAAATGCCTCCTGATGCTCGCAAACTCTCACCTCGTTGAGCGGTGATTGGCTGCCTTGCGCTTACTCTGGCGTTCCAACGTTCAAACTGTACGAGACTCGAGCAGACAGCTCACATGCAAAGGCCTGGTAGCGCACATGTTGCGCTCCAATCTTGGCAATTGACAGAACCATGCATCTACGAAACGGGCTGGATGATGGAGCATCATTGCTTCATTGGGCCGCCGGTTCCAACGCCTGGCTTTGCTCATGCCGTTAGCCGACCTTGGACGACAAATTAGCCGTCGCACCTTGATGTGCCAACCACTACTGCCAATTGCATGGATCATACGGAGCATACTCCGACAATGGATTGATGCCTACAGGCAAGTTGTCAATGGCTCACCTATTCCCTTGATGCTTTCGTGTTGTTCTTTCAATGTCAAGTCCAACCCGAGACGACACTGAGGGAACAATCTAATTACTGCATTTGGCTCCGTCCAAGCCACCTACTGCATGTGCCTACCCAGCTGCCGTGATATACATCATACAGATTGCTGACACCAAACCACCCGACCTCTGGAGGAGTCAAGTATTATTTTGTATTCCGTTACCGTGGCCTAGATTTCCGGCAAGCTCCAGAAAAGCTAGTCCAAACGTCATCCGCGAACCGGCTGCCCCGTGGCCCCCAACTTTTTTTTTTTTTCGTGTGATTGTCGAGCCATCAGATTTCCCGTGCCGGTGCCTGCATCATATCACACCGCAAGAGCAGAACCCGTATTTGGATACTACTTGGATACTACTTGAGTACTACTTGGATAGGTACCTATCCGCGACACCTGAAACATCCTAACAGTGCATACAATACATACGAGTACTCCATACATGATCCATATATGCACATTGGCATGCAAAGGAAGGTCGTAGTGACGGATTGCTGAGGCTTCTGTTCCGCGGCTGGGCAGCTGGGCGGCAAGTCACCCGCTATCTGCCGATATACCGACGCAACCGCACAAAGCCCGCCTCTTGCGGCATCCAGGCAGTTAGAGCTCTACGCAGACCGACTCCAAAAGGGCTATACCAATCGAGACCCTTGCTCCGTAAGCCCCCCACTTGTCGCTACAGCCTCCGTCTCCATCCCTCGGGGTCCGGCTTTGCAGTAACTGCCATTGAGTGCCAACATCCATCCGTTACAACTCTACCTAGAGTACCTGACCACCACCGCCACCATCAAGTACAGTACATGTACCTGCAGTACCAAGTAGCCACACTTTAGCACGATTCATTCGGCACCAATTCAGACGGTAGAACGGCTATGAAGCACGGGTAACCGCCAAGGCACTTGCTAGGCCGCTGTAGGTACTGACTGCCAAGGTACTCGGCCGGCTACCTTTGAAAAGCTGAGCTCGGAATTAGTCACAGCCCAGCCCGGTCAGGTCAGAAAATCCCCCACTTTCCTGATTCCCTCAGCGTTATCCGCAGGGAAGCAGCTCCGCCGGCCCGGCAGGGACTTTGCGGGGCTCACGTGTACTCGATGCAGTGCTTGTAGCAGTGCTGTAGCAGTGGCTGTAGCAGTGGCTGTAGCAGTACCTACAGTGGAATACAGGTAGACACCTGCTGCTCTGCTTGGTCAGTACATGTAGGTTCAGTCCCGTCACGATCCGGCGGGCGGGAAGTTGACCCAAATCCATCCCCAAACCCCAATCCAATCAGTCCCTCGATCTCTTGATCCCTTTTTCGCATTCTCACATATTCTCACGTCGATGCTTAGTCACCCCGTCATCCCCCCAAAACCACCCCAAAGCTTAAAACGTGACGGGAGTTGATGATACTCCCCGAGTCGCTGCAACGGTACTAGCGCTCCGCCATTCGCTTCCTGTCGCAAGCTGCCCTTCGTCCCGTAACAAGTTGACCGTGTGTTTCAGATCTCGCATCTGCATCTGTCCTGCGCCAGCCTCAACCTCAAACCGCTGAGACAAGCCGTCGAACCTCAGACGTCCTGCCTGCTGTAAGTAGAACCCATAACCTACATGTATTATTACAACCCCCGGCCTTGCTCTTCCTCTGCCCCGCGATCAGGGCCAAGCAGGGCCAAACCAAACCAAACATAGTGGCGGAACAGGGTGCTCACTCATTGTGTGTCTTCGTCTTAGTCTTCGTCTTTGTTTCGCCCTTCACCGTCATGAAGTCTGCGCCGCTGCCAATTGGTTAGCATCGCGTCCTTGCCCTCGTCTCCAGCGGTCTGTGCCGACACACTCCCGGCCTGCCTCCGTTCCGGGGTCGTAGAGCGCGAATCCAACGTCGCAACGACACAACATACAGAGTGCCGGGCTGTAGGGGTGCCGTCGGTTCTCGCAGAGCGCCCAAGTCTTTCAATCTCGTCGTCTAAACTGCGTCGGAGCTTGGCTGCGCTGTGCCGGGGATTGTAGATCCCATGGATGCCGCGCACATTTTCCGGCAGGGTCTGGCCGTTGCTCCCCGTCCGAACCACGGCTATGGCCAGCCACGGAGCTTGGTCCAGAGTCCCGATGACTTCTTTGACGGCGATACCTCGAGCCACCGTGTTGCTCACACGCTGACTGCATGCTGTCGTTGTCGCCAGGTACGATACAACAACTACCCCGCCCCCTGAGCTGAGAGCTTTGCTTGCTCCATCCGTTCTGCGCGGGCTGTCTGCACATGCCAACGAGAATAACTGCGTGAATACTAACATCACACGGCAGCGGAAAACAAGATGCGACCCTACGCTGCCTCGCTGCCTGCCCTGCGAGAGGTCGGGGTCTGTGTGTGAATATCTCGACACCGCAAAAGGCCGCAAGATCAATCGCCGCTATGTGATTACGCTCCAGGATAAGGTCAGAGCCCTCGAGGCGGAACTGGGCCAGTACACCGATGAAGATGGCGACCATCCTCCAACAAGTGAAGAACTAGTCCGTCCGGGCGGCATGATTCGTCTAGGCGGCAACGACGAGACACCTCGTTATCTAGGGCCAACCAGCGGTATCGCCATGACACGACTGCTCATGGCCGAGGCCAAGCGGTTTACCGATTCTAACAAGATTTCTGACCTCATCCCTGAGGTTCGGGCCAGGAGCCAGGCTCGCATGCAATCCATCCATATGACGGGATCGGGGAGCAGTAGGAAGAAGAGCTATCCCATGGTTAGCGAATGCCCGGCCGAGGGTCTTCCTACGCGGGCGGTGGCCGATAAGCTGGTAGAAATTTACTTCAAAAAGGGTATGCAAGTAGCATTTACCCCCTTCCAACGCGTCGTTTATGCCCAATACTGATTTTCCTAGCTCAAATCCACTGGCCTGTGCTTCACGAGAAGCTATTCCAAGCAGACTTTGATGCCGTCTATAATCGCGATACAGACGTGTACAAAAACTTTACTGTTCGCATGGTTATCGCCGTCAGCTTGCAGAAACTGGACACGCAATATGCTGGGTTGGCCGACGGATACTACATGGCGGCAATGAAATACGTTGAAGATATTATTCGTCCCAAAGACCTCAAAACGCTGCAGTGTCTCATTCTCATCGGGCAATACTCGCTGCTCACCCCGACACGAACGCCCGTCTATTATGTTATTGGACTGGCCACCAGAATTTGCCAGCAAGAGGGACTGATGGATGAAAAGACCATCACCTCGGGTTACAACTTGGACCCTCAGATCATCGATATGCGCCGGAGACTTGCATGGATAATCACCACCATGGAGTTTGGGCTTTCCTATTACATGGGCCGTCCCAGTGCATTTGCCCTCAACAGCGACCGCTTGGATGTCGAATTCTTTTCTGTCGTCGACGATGCAAACATTACGCCTCAGGGAATCGTGCCTGGTCCGCCTAACGCACGGAAGCTTGCAACCATACATTTCTACAAAATGACAAACCCGCAGGCTGAAATCAAGAGAACTCTATATGAAAGAAAGAGGCCAGAGCCTAGAAATGATGATCACCCGTGGTTCCATAGCATGGAAAAGACGCTGAGGGATTGGTTGGATGCGGCACCTGAAGAACCTCCATGGGCCAAGCCTTGGTAAGCCGACTTTTGTTTAATCCTCCTGTTCATACTTGCCTTTTTGATGTGATTTGTAATTTATAAGCCCGGCCTCCTAACTCGAACGATAGGATTTCTGGATTTTATCACCAGATGAGGGCTATGCTATACAGGCCATCTCCTCAAATCCCGCAGCCGTCGCCTCGTGCAGCGCAAATCTGCTATGAATCTTCTGCCGCCACGATCGATCTTGCTCAGAAGCAACTAGGCAGCGATACTGTGGACATCACTTGGGTGTTCCTTCTGACGGTAAACCTGGCTCTCAGTACACTCTTATGGACGATATCCTATCCCGAAGTTCGACGTAATCACCCTCGGGAAGAGGTTGAGGAGTTGATCAACACGGCATTGGAGTGCCTGGACCGATGTGCAGAGCGTTGGCCCGGGACCACAGCCACTTCACAGCTCTACACCATATTTTCCAAAGCATGCCTGCAAAGCTACGACGCACAGGTGAAACTTGAAAGAGAGCCCTTTTCTTTTAGCAGCCCCCCGGCATCAAGCGAGTCTCAGTCCTCTCCCGAAGGCTACGCCCAGTCAAACGCCACCACTCCCCGGCCTCTCCCCTACCTCAACCCTCCGACGTTTGGGTACGTTTTTGACTCGTCCCCCGAGTCTATGAACAATTACGTATTCAACCCCAACTACCCTCCTCCGCAACCCACTTTCCGCTCAAACTCAATCTTCTGCAACCCGGCTACCGACAACGGCAACCGACGATTCTCTTACTTTCCCCCTGATGCCACTCATATGGGAGAATCAGGCGGCCTGGAGGATCCTTCTCACGGGATCCCTATACCAGACCACATAGCCCATCAACTGCAGTCACCACCCGATTCATTCATTCAAGCCAACATACCGACCTCTAGACCAGGGCTTTCGCCATCGGCAATGGCGATAAAGCAGACATCAAGCGTCGCACCACTTACGCCATCGCCTCTCTCAGCGCAGAGCAACATGTCACCGCCTCAAAAACCCATCATGGCACAACAGGTGCCGCAGTCCCAACCCCAGCCTACATACGCCGCCGCACGCATGGCACAGCCAGTTCATCACCAGCGACCGCTGCCGCCTGCACCGACATCCGCATCGGACTGGTTCGCCCCTCAGTCGCAATTCATGTCGCCGTACAACTTTGTCACCTCGGGCGGTGGCTATTTCAACGAGGCCATGGCGGGCATGAGCGGATTTGGAGGGTCCCCAGGACCTGGATTGGGACTTCACAACATCACTGCGCAGCTCGAAGCGGGTGGCATGCAGTTTGGCTATTCGCCCGGCAGGCAAGGCAGCCTGTCTCAATCGCAGCAGATGGAGCTCATGGAGGACTTGGAGAAGGACGGCGTAAGTGCCATGGATGCGTACCTGCAGGACAACCCGATGAATGGGAGGGGGTGGTACTGAAGATGACTTGTTTCCTTTCCTTTACCTCTTTATTTTCTCTCTCTCTCCTTTCTCACTTGGTCCCCCCTTTTATTTGTTTTTTTTTTTTTGGCTTCTCCCCGTTGCACCATCATTGCCATTGCTATCATTTATGGGAACCAATTGGATACGAACTACTTAGACGGATTTCTGGCAATGGAGTACTGCGTTTCATGTTGACCAACCATGTATGCTGAGTAGTAATGTTGAGAGATTTCGGATATCCAAAGGGGAGGGTCCGCACGATGGAAATAAGGATAGGATAGGATAGGATACAGTTCGACTTCTTTCTGATGGGCTCCCATTCTCCTACAATGCTTCTAAATATCTACTTTTCCAGAGTCTGAGCAAAACAACTGGGTTAAAAGAGTGACCAGGGTATATTCCATTAATTAATTCCCCTCCGTTTCATGACTTCATGTCCATCCATGCCCATGTCCATGCCCTCCAATATAAAAACCCGACCCAACCGTTGATAACCAATGTAATAATTCCAGGGGGAAAATGGCTGCATAGAGCGCTTTCCTGGATTATACATTACTAAAATAATTTTCTTCATGCAATCTGATGAAAAGAAGATTGACCCTATAAAACCAGCGAAAAAAAAAGGAGGGGTATAAATATTCGTGAAGGAGAGTTTCATAAAGTAACCAAAAGCACATGCTCTCATATCATTCCAACACACATGCGCGCGCGCCCACACACGAGGGAAAAAAACAACCTCGCATTTACACCAACAACAGGCCCATAAGAGCCGCAATTAGGAGACCAAAGTTCTCACTTGCCCGCGAGAGGTCGTTCGGGATCGGCGGCAGCCCACTCGTGGGTGAAGTGATAGGGCCTGTTCCCGTGGCTCCGCCAGAACCACCGCCGCTGCCGCCGGGGTTGCCACCAGGATTGCCGCCGGGGTTGCCTCCGCCGCCGGGCGATCCAGTTGGTCCAGCACCGCCAGCACCACCGCCGTTGTTTCCAGCAGCGGTTGAGCTTGCCCTTTCCAGTTGCCCGGGAGAAGAGAATCCCGTCGGGGGGGACGAGGAGCCTGTTGAGCCGTTAGTGCCCGTTTCGGTAGCAGATCCTGTCACTGAAGGAGGCTCTGTCCCGGTAGCGCCTCCGGTTGGGGAGCCGGTACCAGCCTCAGCAGTCGAGCCACCAGCACCAGTCCCGACAGTGGTGCCTGTTCCGGCAGCAGTTCCCGAGGGGGAGCCGGTGCCGGATGGGGAACCGGTACCAGTTGGGGAGCCGACGCCAGTCGAAGAACCGGCGCCGGTTGGGGAATTAGTACCTGTCGAGGAGGATCCGGCTCCAGTCTCCCCCGTGGTGGGTGAGGAGGCTGATGGACCGGTGGCAGAAGCACCATTCGAGGCCGACGCCGATGACGATGCGGACGCCGACGTTGACCCCGTTTCACTGCTAGCACTATTGGATGCCGTACCTGTTTCAGAAGAGGCAGATCCCGATGTGGGTGCGCTTGATGATGCTGAACCAGAGGCGCTGCTGGCAGACGAAGCTGAGCTTGAAGGAGGAGGCGATGATGGCGGCGATGAAGAGGGAGTAGAGGATGCAGGTGGCGGCGTAGAAGATGCAGGAGGTGGTGTAGAAGATGCAGGAGGCGGCGTGGAGGAGCTGGACGTCGAAGAAGTTGGCGGCGGCGGCGGCGATGAGGACGATGTCGGAGGCGTAGAGCTTGGTGGCTGAGACGAGCTGGTTGGGGGAGGGCTGCTTGAGCTGGTTGGAGGAGGGCTGCTTGAGCTTGTAGGAGGAGAAGGAGGTGCGGTAGTGGACTGCTTAGTAGTCGATTGCACGGAGCTCGAAGTTGTTGATTCAATAAAGGACGTGTCGCTTGCAGAGACTTGCGAGCTAGTTCCCAGCGTAGGCGTCGTCGTCACTTGTGACTCGGGCCCCGATGTTGTCGACTGCGTAGGCGTCGTTCCCTGTCCATCGCAGAAGGCGATGGTGTCTTGTAACGTCTGGTTTAGGAGCGGTGCCACTTGATCCTTCGGGATACCCAACCCAGTGGAAACGCACACACGACAGCCCTCTAACGCAGTCTCAAAGTCAGATCCGGGATCGCACAGTGCCGGGATCATGCCGTCCTCCTGAACGATCTTATATGGCTTATCGCACAGTGCAAAGCATGCTGACGGTAGGGTATCAGCGCGCTTTGAGTGGTTGATGGCCCTCCGGTGATCTTGGGGCTTGGTCGGGCTATAACGTCTCCTGTATGAGGGCGGGGGCGTTTGCACTGGTCCGTCTGTCAAGGTGGATTGGGACTCCCAGTTGCCAGTCGTGTAAGTCGATGTGCGCCCACTCGATGCTTTTCGAACAACGCTGTACTCGAAGATGTCGTAGGACAGTCCAAAATCTTCTGGGTTCAGGTTGAAATAACCAAACTGGGGCGGATAGTAGCCCGGCTTGCCATTCCACTCCGGAACTTTGAAAGGAGGAGCCACCATACAAAACTCAGGCGGGCATATAAAGTCGCTTGGGGGAGGTCCTGGCCAGAAGTTGCATCCCTCTGGCTTGGGGAGGTTGCAAACATATCCAGGATGGCATCCATACAGGCTGCCGGGCGCTGTCTTAAACCTCGCCGCAGGCAATCCGGTTGGTTGTGGACAGAGAGTGACTTGGAACGTAGGAGGAGAAACGATTGTTGTGACCGCCGCATCCGCATTCCTCAGTTCCAAGGCAGCAGTCGGCGTTGGTGCATTCTCATTGTGCTCAGCCTATGCAACTCTACTATCAGCTTGATGTAGACACACCGAACTATCAACTAGATATTACGAACCGCTTCTTTGGTATACACTGTTTGGAGGCTGGACTGGGCTGCAGCAACGGCTGCGCCCGCAAAGGCTCCAATCGATATGGACGTAAGCAAACGCATGCTGGGCTGCTTTATTCCAACACAACAAGAGGAAACGAGTGCGTCCCTTGGTTATGTTAAAACGATGGAAGGTAGCCAGAAGGCTGGAGATGAGCCGAGGCCAGCAGATGGGCCAGGACAGAGGGAGAGCGAAAGAATGGCCGAAAACACACACAAAGACGGGACAACAGATGTGATAATGAAGAAAGAAGACGAGCCTCGTTCCTGACTGGCGGCTCTTTATGGAGGCACGGAAAAGATATGGCGTATACTGCTAGTACAACCTGTACCGCAGCCTGCTATGCAGCCGAAGCTGGTGCAATCCCCCCTGGTCAACGGGATACTAGTCAAGCTAGGCCATTGCGTGGCGTGCGCGTGTAAGACTCACCTCACCTCACCTAGGATCAAATTTGACCGCTTGTGCTCCGTGGAGAGCAAGGCTGATTTGGCGCCGTGGGGGACTAATCAGATGTGTCGAACCCCCGGGAAGGAAAAGCCAATAGGCCTCGTCCACGGAAAAGTCAGCCAATTTCCATCTTCTCATCATGGGCCAATTGGCAGGGAAGGCGACAACACATGCAGGCCGAGTTGGACGACCCCCGGCAGACGGATCATGTCCGGCCGAAAGATCGGATAAGTGAGGGCGAGAACAACAACAAAGGGATCATCAGCAGCCACAGCATCTCCAGTGTCCTCTTCTGTAAGGCAAGCCTCGCAAGGCCAAGGGCCGGGAAGCAAGACCCAACTGGGCTGATTTGCGTGGCGCACTCTGGCAGGGATCCAGCCGGTGATAGGCAAGCCGAACACCAAGTGCCTGGAGGAATCCGCGAACCCCTCCCCGAGCTGTCTCCGGCCACCCACAAAGCTGTCATGCTAATGGTTGATTGATAGAAAATTTCCTCCTCGAGAAACCCTGGTTGCCACTAGCCGTAAACAGAGAGCATATGCGAGTGACAGGGATCTCGAGTGTTGGAGTGGCTGGAGCAGATGCAATGACACACAAAGGTAGTGGCGATGTAGCCTCCAAGCCTTGGGAGAACGAATGGAGGGGAACCAGATATTTTCTGGATGTCACCACTGGCAGGGGTTGCGCATAGGTCCTTGTGTCCGGGAGAATCAATGGCCGACCTTACGCGGACGAGTTTCCAGACTGAGGGTCGGCATAATACGACATACGAGCAACGGTTGGTAGGCGAGCGAGGAAGCGCCAAAAGCTGAAGTTGGACACCATCAAGCAATGGGCAAAAGAAGGGTCCAGACTGGTGCAGAAGTAGATGGAGCTGGGTTCTCCGGGCTCTCCACGTTGACGGGGCCTGTAGGTATCTGGCGAGTAATCCTTCGATCTCAAGCCCGGCAAACGCAAACGCCCTCGCTCTACGGCAACACGAGGGAAGCTGCCCGAGTTTGTGCCACCCCGCCGTTGCATTGCATCGAGTTGTACTCGAAACGGGTAGGGCGGCAAGGCCCGAGAGATAGGAAGAGAGTCGCGTCGAGTGTAACGGTCTGGCGAAAGAGCTCAACTGCTTCTTCCACGCTGAACACCGAGTTGAGCACCCAGAAGGCGGATGCGGGGCGGGCTAAGGCCCTGTCTTTGGGCTATGGGAGAGCTGCGGGCGCTGGAGAGAGAAAACTCTGCTGATGGAGGCTCTGCGGCAGCTGTTGTTATTTTGAGTCGTGGCATGTCAGCAATTGAGAGGTTGGAGGTTCTGGCGAGAGCTTCGAACAACTTTAGTACCTATAGTAGGCTTAGTGGTGAAGTCTGGTGCTAACAGGATACGTACCGACGATTAGTGAGCTGTGCCTGCCCCGAACCGGCAGCTACGTCGGCTGGCTTTTGCGCACCAAACCCCTCAGCAATCTATTTTGCAGCCCGGCGATTGGTCCAGGGGCTCTCAGGTGTTCTCGCCCGCTAAGGAAGCGCTAGAGAGGCCCGCTAAGGCTCCGAAGGAATTCAACAGACCCCTGTTCTAGTTGCGGTTGGAGCTTCTTAGCTCTTGAATGAGCCCAGGTCCAGCACCTTTTGACAACCTGACTTGACCCAACCAACAACACCATCAGCATCAGCCGCAACTTGTGCCTCAATTCCGTTTGCCACACAATACAATACCTTCTGCTTGTCATTATTTTGCGAGTGCCTCTCCTTTGCCTGTCGCCTATACCTCCGACGAGGCTGCGCGGCGAAACCCCTCGATTGGCCGGTACTTGGGCATCACCACATCCCACACACAACACCAACACCATGGGCACTATCATGGAGCGCCAAGCGGGAGTGGTGCTACTATACATAGACGATCCTTCGAAATCCACCGGAGCGGGGCCTGCCTTATGCACGTCCATGTATGCTTTTCGTCCTTCGTCCAAGGCCGCCCACACTCCAAAAAGAGCCATATTGCCGATGACTTGTCAACGAGCTTACTCGTCCGTTGGGAGAACGAGGCATCCCACCTCGTTCCCTCAGGTCCGTCCTGCCAGCAACAAAGGTCCTCGTCAGCAGCTAGATTCTCGGGGACTGCTAGTGCTATGCTCATCTTACCCACACCGTCATTTGTCACCGACGAGACTGACTGACTCTTTCGCCAGGCCCGTCTGCTGGGTTGGACAATAATAGGCAAATCAGGAAGCATCACGCAACATGCCCTTACTGATCCCAGCCTAGGGGCTCTGGGCGACCTTCGACCGTACGAGTACGAACGAGTACTGTACAGTATCTGTCACCATGCTGAAGAAGAATACATGCCCATTGCTTGTGACTATGCCCGATTACAGATACTCCCGGCCAAGCCTGCCAATGCTACCAGTCGGCGCAGTGAGCCTGTCTTTAGCCTGTTGACCCGTCGGGACTGGGGCACGGCTAGGACGAGCAGATGCTACTATTCGCATTGCCACTGGGAATCCCGGGACGCTGCTGGCTTTCTCTTCCCGTCATGTGCGACCTCTGTGGCCCACAGGCTGCCTGCCATCCCAACGTGAGATGAGATGCTTCTGTGCCTCAAACCATCTGTAGCCGGGTTCCAGCTAGTGACCCGCCCTGCGTACCACGTCTCCGGGCCTCTTAACCACGCTTTGGCCGGTCGTTCGCGCTCTAGCTTCCTGAAGCCTGCATTGATGTGCCCCTCGTCCACGATCACCTCGTTAATCGTACAGAATCGGGGAGCCACCGTATCTAAACCAGCCTCAGGTTGTGTGTAGCTGTGCCTCGAACATCGCCCTATACACACGCCCCAGCCCAGCCGATCTATCTGCCGGCGTTGTCATTGTATTAGCTGCCCGCCTCTTCAACCTCCCTAGACAAGGCTGCAGTCCCAGACAATTCAGATTTCTCACCTCGTCACCTTCTCAAATCACCGTCTCAAGATCACCTCACCTTGTTCCTTTCCCCCCCTATGGCTTAGTAGAATTCTGATACCTATATTTTCGTCTTGAAGAACATCTCCATTCACTCATCACTATATCATGCTCGCTGGTTAATTCACTACAACTGCTGATCTCGACCTCGCTCCTCACCGGCTCCCGCCGCTGGCCAGGAAATCATGGCACCTAACCATGCCATGAGAGCCGCTCTCCTGGCGCTTTTACTACGTCCCACTCAAGCTCAATTCAGTGGTTGGGCTGATAATCAAATCAACACAACATTATGTACCTGGGGAGAGCCGAGAGGTAACATAATAATCTCCGTTCTAGTGGCACCTCAGACCACCGCTGACAGCAAATTCTAGCGGCTCTCATCCGAAATAAAATCTTCATAGATGGAGGCAATATCATATGGCGACCGGGCTTGAAGGATGGATCAGCCGGAGGCCCAGTATTGGAAGGTGTGCAGAGTTTCCTCTTTTTTTAAAAAACAAAAGAAAAGAAAAGAAAAGAAAAGAAAAGAAAATCAGTTACTTACTCATTATTCACAGCAAACGTTCCGGGATATATGCTCACGTACAATCTGAGTTATGCATTTACCCCAGACACCAACGTCACAGGTCTTCTGCTGCAACAAAACATATCCAAAGCATTGGGAGGGCAAGGAGTCAACGGCGAAACACCAGACTACGTCGACGGTGCCCTCCTGGCTAATGACAATGAATTCTTCTTCTATGGCGGCTTACCGCTTCGAAATACCATACAATATGCAGATCCAACCGCACATGGCCTCTATGTCTATCAGGCCTACCAGTACGGAGCTAAGAAACCTCTTTTCGACGCAGGACTTCATAGATTGGACAACTTGCCCAACAGTGTGAGCCAGTTTGTCACCTACGGGGGTGCAGCCAATGCTCCATCCGAGAACCTCGCTTGGTACTTCTCTGGCCAGACCTCCCCGTCTGGCAAGTCAATCTTTCAAAATTACAATGCTACCACGAGACCATCAAGGATTACAAACTCCCTGATAACGGTTGATATGACCACACAAGGAGACGAGACGTGGAGCAACAAGACTACTACAGCCAAGGGCCGCGCAAATCCTGCGCTGGTTTGGGTTCCTGTTGGCGCGAAAGGCATGCTCGTCGCTCTTGGGGGTGTCACCTTTCCATACTATGACAATGCAAGCCAAAGGACTACCAATGCCACAGCTAGTGTAAGACGCCTTGTTGGATTTGGCCCCCTCTGATACAGGGATCTAATAACGGATGTATAGGAATCTCAAAGCCCGGCATTTATGCGTGTTATTGATGTTTATGACGTCGCCAGCGGCAAGTGGTATACGCAACCAACTACAAATGGGCCCAGCGCCCGAGCTCGTGGATGCGCTGTCGTGGCCACAGCATCCGACAGCTCCAGCTACAACATCTATTACTATGGTGGTACCGAAGGCCTTGACGCTGCAAGTCCATTTTACGATGACGTCTGGGTTCTCTCTCTCCCATCTTTCACGTGGACTCAGATCAACGACGGCAAGGATTCCCACGCGCGAGCAGGGCATCAGTGCTTCACTCCGTACCCGGATCAAATGATGATCATTGGTGGAGAGACAACCGCCGCAGGCTCATCAATAACATGTTTGGAGGATGGGCCTGTTGTCATGTTCAACTTGACCAGTGGAAAATGGATGGACTCTTATGATCCTACCGTATATGGCGAGTATGGCGTCCCTGACAAAGTTCAAGCTGTGATTGGAGGCAAAGCATCCGGCGGTGCAACTGCTACCCAGCCGGTTGTCTCTGGCTGGGCAACACCGGATCTTGGCAAAGCATTCGCTACGACCTATGACCAAAAGAAAATCTCAACTTACTGGCCATACCCAGCAGCTCAGACGGCCAACCCTCCAGCAGAATCGCCACAGCCGCCAACACCACCGTCTAAATCCGGAGGATTGCCATCGTGGGTAGGGCCAGTGCTGGGTGTCATTCTGGGTCTCATTGCCCTCACCTGCATCATTGTCTTGTTTTGTCTCTGGCGGCGGCGAAAGAACCTTAAGAACCGCTCGAGCACCAACACCAGCGAGGAAGCCGGTCGGAGGATCCTCTCGTGGATCCGAGGACAACCTCCCACCCACAAGGCCCCGACGGAAACGACTACCGAGGGCACGCCAGGGAGTCCAGACATGCGGGAGTATTTCCATGGCAGTTTTACGCCGTCGAACTCGGCATCTGTTCCTCCTCAGATTCACGAAGTGGCCGATACGCAATTGGTGGAACTCGGTACGTAACCCCCCTTTCAATCTGCTACATGAGATATACATAGACTAATTAGATGATTTCTGTTACAGATGATACGACCCGAGTTGAACTTCAAGATACAGGGCTATCACCGATGGACATCCGTGCGCGGTATTCTCACTGGTTCCAAGGCAGGTCCGACGATGGCTTGCCCAGCCCAACGAGAAGCTCTCTTCGGAGCACTTCTCTGCGGAATACGATTTCTCCGATAAAGGACAGAAACAGCGTCATATCACAACCTGCTGGGCTGGGCGACTCTCCTTCTCCTCCAGTACCCGGATCCAGTGAAAATGATGAAAAATCGTTGTTGCCCACCCCTGAACCGGTAGCCACCCCTGCAGGAGAGGACAAACAGCCATCGGATGAGTCGGCCAGGACTTCAGAGGGCCACGAGTTTGTAGTTTCTCCTCCAACGGCGGAGGAGAACCCCGGGGATGACTATTTGACGGTAAAGAAGTCATCTTCAAATAGCCCGACTACTCGAAAAAGTGTGTTCCAGGAACATCATGAAGATTAGTACGGTGAGGCTGAATGGTAGGACGGCCTCAGAATCGGCGTTGGGTGGCGAGTGGTCAATTTTTGTTCGAATAATTCTTTTGTAATGATGACGATGAATCTCGAGCTCCAATCTTGTTATATATGACTGTATACCCATCATTTTATCAATATGACATATGCTGCAGTTTTGCGCAATGCTAAGCCACTGTGTACATTGTGCATCCTAATCTAAAAACGTCCCAGATCCATGACGCAGAGAAAATCCAAGGAGAAAGTCGATAAATGAACAGCTTTTTTTAGACTTCGACAAGCTCATCATCTTCGTCTGCTTCAATCTCCTTTACGCGCTCTTCTTCCACACGCCCCTCTGTCTCTGCCCCTGCCTCATCTCGCATGAGAACCTGCACTAGTCTATCGCATGCTTCTTGGACGCCCTCATCGTTGACTCTCATGTGTGTTTCCCGGATGATTGGGTATACCTTGACCTTTCTCATCAGCTCACGGCCTTCCAGTGTGCTCGTCAACAATGTCAACGTCTCGACGTGAGTCTGGATATTGGCCGTGTCCGAGTCACGCTTCTTATCCGGCGGGAGGAGTTGCAAGTCAGGCAACATGTCCATCGAGTCATCGTCATCGTACTCTTCATTACCAGTAATGGGCAAAAGAATATAAGGAAGAATATCAATTTCCGACTCAGACAAGAACGAAGGATGGGCGGGGATCTCGAACGCAGCGTTCTTGATGGTGTTTGCGACGCCTTTCCTGCGAATGTCGGACTTGTGCTCGGTGAAGACCTTGAGCTTGGTCAGGGGGATGACGTTGTCGTAGGTCTGCTCGGCGAGGAAGTACTGGCGGATCTCGGTGTGCTTGGCGAGGTCGGCGAAGACGTAGGCGAGGTAGTCAAAGTCTGCCTTTTTGTTGTAGGCGCCGTCTTGGCCCTTGACGAAGAGGTCCATGAGCTGGTTGATGACGCGGTCGTCGGAGCCGAGCTGTGAGGGGGCCTCTTGTTTTCTGTGGAAGAAGGCCTTTGAGCCTTCGAATTTGGAGAGATTGGCGAGGAGCATGGCTAGTAGGTCTGCGTTTGGCTCTTCTGGGTGCTGTTGCGGAGATGATTTGTGTTATTTTGGGTGAGTTTTTTGGAGGTGAGGTGGGTGGTGAGACTTACGACGATATGTGAGAATACCATTTCCAGGAATTTCTCATCTGTTGCCACAAATTCCAGGATCTCCTGGTCTCCCGTCAAGTTGATCAGAATAGTCAAGGCATGCTCGGCGATTTTCTATACATGAAAAGGATCAGACCTTTGTCCTGATATTGAACTTGGCTTCTCCCGCGGAGGCCATGAAAGTTACTCCACGGGACGCTTACAGCAATGTCTCGAACAAGGAATTTCAGATGCTTCACTGGCTTAAGCTGCTCGGTTTTGAAAATGGACGGCTCAGTTTCTGAAAAGGGGACCAGGTTCTCTATTGCGACGGCCCTGATCTGGGGGTTTGGATGGGCGATGAAGCCCACGAGCTATGTTATAGGTTAGCATCTGTATTTTGTCTGGGTATGTGATTTCCAAGTATATATAAGACATACTTCTTCCAGCTCCGTAGGCATGACGTCTTGTAATCTATATGAGAATAAATGAGTTGAAGCAAAATCCCTGGTTTATAAAAGGTGTCGCAGAGTGTATAGAGAATGACCGTCTTATTGCATGAAATATTTTGGAGGGGCAGCTTTTTTTGGATTTTGATGATAGTGGGGTGAAAAAATGCGAGGCGTCATAGGCCGGTACTAACCATTTTAGGCAGCATTGTGAAAGAGATGGAAGACTCGAGATTCTGCAAAGTCAAGATAGCACGTGATGATCTTATAAGTAAAATAAGATGAAGTCGGGTGGGAGTTGTGTAAATAGATGGTTGATTTAAGAGATGATTATCAGATCTATCCTTTATTCAGAAGAATCGAGAGCCAAGCTTGGTGACCAATTGTGGTGCACTACAACACAACTAAAACTGAGGTAAGCGGCGTACTATTCAAAAATTTAAAGATATTTGATCCATATCAGATTACTATACACTCTGTGTATCATCAATAGCTTCTATCTCAAGCATCAAGACGAGGCGCTTCATCAATTCCATTGCTCAAGGTGTAAAGAGAGAGACATGGGTACTTTGCCATGCAAAGGCGGTGAGCTGTAAGATGGGTTTTTGGTGCGGCGCGCTAAGCCTCATCCGTTGAGAGGGGTGGCAGATCGATAAGACACAAATTTTTGATTTTCTGCCCACCAAGTTTGTCCGGCCCCAGTAGAACCCAAATCGCACTCTGATATCCAACAGTTGCGTCTACAGAAATCAATCCACCACAGATTACATACAGCATTGGAATTCAAGATGCCCAAGGCAACGACTCCTACCGCGGCGCGCCCCGGCCGGCGCCACAATCCCCTGGAAGATGACGTTTTGGCGACGGGCATTCTGCGAAACAAGCCTACCAAAAGAAAGTCCAAGGACGTGGAAGAGTCCGAGGATGCGTTTGTGGATTCCAAGGCCTCCAAGAACATTCTGCGGATAGGCCGCGAGCTGATGGAGGAGGAGAATGCCGAGAACCCAGTAACAAAGCCCACGGTGGACAACTTTGGGTACGATTCGAGATTCGGCGAGGAAGAGGAAGATCACAAGGGCTATGACGGGGACGAGGCCTGGGGAGACGACGATGACATGGTGGAGGAGGTCGAGGTCGACCCTGAAGACCTCGATACTTACAGGAAATTCATGGGAGACGAAGAGGATGACGATCTGCTGAAGCACGGCTGGGATCTCAAGGGTTCCGCAGAACCCCAGGGCGAGTCCATCAACTTGGCCGACCTGATTCTGGAGAAGATTGCTGCGCATGAGGCAGCTCAGGCTAGCGGAGGCAATGTCCGAGCCCCCGACGACGACTATGAGCTTCCACCCAAGGTTGTGGAAGTGTACACCAAGTAAGTAATGCCATCTCTCGAAAATGCATGTAGTTATGGGCCCGGAGCTAACAGCACCACCAGGATTGGCGAAATTCTTTCCCGCTACAAGTCCGGGCCTCTTCCCAAGCCCTTCAAGATTCTCCCAACTATCCCCCACTGGGAGGACATTATCGATGTCTCCAAGCCCGAAAACTGGACCCCCAATGCCACCTATCAAGCGACCAGGATATTCGTCTCCGCCAAGCCTGGAGTGGTCCAACGGTTCCTGGAGATGGTGGTGTTGGAAAAGGTCCGCGAAGATATCTACGACACGAAAAAGCTCAACGTCCACCTGTTCAACTCCCTCAAGAAGGCCCTTTACAAACCTGCCGCCTTTTTCAAGGGCTTTTTGTTCCCTCTGATCGGCAGTGGCACCTGCACTCTGCGAGAAGCACACATCATTTCAGCTGTCTTGGCGCGAGTTTCCATCCCAGTCCTTCACTCTGCCGCGGCCATCAAGGGTCTTTGCGACATTGCCGCTCAAGAGGCTTCTCAGGGCAGTGAGGGAGGTGGAGCGACCAACATCTTCATCAAGACTCTTCTGGAGAAAAAATACGCTCTCCCTTACCAGGCTATTGATGCTCTAGTCTTCCACTTCTTGAGATTCCGCGCCGAAGACCCCGCCACCGCCAGGGCTGGCGATAACATGACCGTTGTCATGAGCGGATCCGACTACAGGGCTAAGCTGCCCGTTATCTGGCACCAGAGTCTCCTGGCGTTTGCGCAGAGATACAAGGGCGACATCACCGAGGACCAGCGTGAGGCACTGCTGGATCTTCTGCTAACGCACGGTCACTCTGCCATTGGCCCTGAAGTCAGGCGAGAGCTGCTGGCCGGACGAGGCCGTGGAATCCCCCTGGAGCCTCAGGGGATGGCTTTGGATGGTGACGACACGATGGAAATGGATGCATAATTGCATAGCGACTGATGGGAACATGTATGGCGTTTCGGCGTATTTGGATTGGGAAGCCACTAAAATGGATGTTTGAGTAATGAGGACAGACGGATCAGGTCTCATGAGACATGTCAAGTGCGACAATACCAGTTTTCTTTTCTTTTCAAGTCAAATGAATAAAAAAGTATACTCTTGTGTCATGATTAATTCTTAAAGTTGAGCGAGACGGAGTGAAATAGTATGGACGCCCCCGATGGGACCTTCCATCAACCCCTACCTATAGTACCTATACTGTACCTAAGGTATTACTGTCTTATCCTGTCTTGGCTCATACGCGCGCCTCTCCCAAAACTCTCCATTTACATCAAACAATTTCCTATAAACAAACCTCGAGTACTTTTAATCCTACCATCGTCCAGCACCTACATCCTAAGAGGAGTGTCGCGACTTTCCTCCTCTTCTCTTTTTCTCTTCTTTTCTAACTATTTATTTGTTGCTCTATTTCATTTCGTCTCGCAGCTGTTTGCCGATTCGCCAGGGACCAGTTGAAGCGCTGTCGCCTCCGCTTCATTGCTTTCCAGCGGGTGACGATAACTGTTCACCATGTCCGATAACGAACACACAGCAGAAGTAACAGCAAGCAGTACTTCAGATTCTCATGATGACAGGTACACCCTCAGCTATTCTGTGTTTGTAAGTCACCTTGATAGTGCTAATCATATCTCCACAGTTACTTTGATCTCACAGTCCGCTCTTTACCTGTCCCGCCGCCGTTCCTTCTCCTCACCCTTGCGCCGCCCTCTCATGAGCCGCCTCGATTGACTCCTTGGGAGAGGGCTATGCAAGATGGTGCTTTTACAAACTCAACCTCTCCGGCAGGTTCACCGGACAGAAAGAGAGCCGAGTCTTTATCCACTTCTGCCCCAAAATTCGGCGTCGATCCGCCACGGCCACCTCGTGAGGGATACGAGTAGGTCTGGTTCCCTGAGGGATATTGGGCAGAGAGACAGGTCACGCCAGCCTCTCCCCGAAAGAGCAACGCCAGTTCAAATGCGCGCTTCTGGAAATGGCGTTCACGGTCGGCCAAATCTGCGAGTGAGGCAGATGCACTACTCAATGGGCGTTGTGCCTCTCGAGTGACCTCTGCGACAGGACCAAAATCGAAACCCGACCTCCCAAAACCTGATCCGCCGGCCATTCATCAAGTGTGGACTCCATATCTATCCGAGTCTGATCATGTGTTCTCACTACAACATCCCACTGCAGAGCCTCTCTCACCTTCTGCTGCTGCAATGACGCCTTCAAAGTCACAGCAGTCGAGCGAAAGCATTGTAGTCTCTCCCGGTTTAAAGAGCCGCCGCTTAGTCGACACCCCGAAAATCACCTCGCCCGAGAGCCATACTCAAACAACCATGAAAGCCGGGTTACCAACGCCCTTACTCTCTCCAAGAGTCTTGTATCTCAAAGCCAAGAAAGAAATCGAATCCAAGCTCAAGCAAAAACAGCATGAGGACTCGTATATCCATTGTACATCAGATGCCGGCAATCAGACAGATATCGGGTTAGAAGCTAAGCATCTAGCCCACGATGAGGATTGCCGGACGCGGTCAACGGTTGAAGGTGCCAGAAAATTCCTCGCCTCTCAGAACATCAGCAAGACGGGAACATGGTTTAAAGACGAGTTTCATACTTCCAAAATAGGCCGCAAACTATTTGGAAGAGCCCCATGGCATCGAAAGGAATCTGGGGACTCGTTCACCAGCGTATCCAGCTCCATCAGAGCAGTGCTTAAGGGCAAGACACCTCCTGCGAGTCCTGCCACTTTCGGGTTGAGCCAGACGAGTACGCCAACACACTTTATGTCAAGTATAAACATATGTATAAACTAATTCCGATCTGACAGGTCGCTACAATCTATCTCACAGCACATTTCCCGGAGGGGTGAGTATATCTCTCTCCTCGGCTTCTATGCTTTGTGTTGTGAGTTACATCAACTTATCGCCGAGTAGGAGGCCATTCGAGTCAGCACACCTCCCTTGGATGAAGATACAGCCGACGGCAGGCCGCGGGCTTTTTTCACGTCATTGACACCTCCCACACAAGACGGTGAGACCAACTCCAAGACGGCTTCGCCATCGAATCGCTCTGTGAAACGTTTCAGTATCCACGGTGGCAGCATAGCATCGCAGCCTCGCGAGTGGTGGGAGCAGGCACCTCAACGTGGATCTCGCCGCGACATACCTGTTACTATTCGCACTTCAGCCAGCAGATTCGAATTCGACGTCCCAGAGCATTTGCCGTCAAGCCCAATGTGCCCTGCCAACAAGCGCCACAAGAGCGGCGGCACGGGCGTGTGTGTGTATCACGGACGGAGAAAGACGAGGTCTGTCCTGAGAGAGGAAATGAGCAGAGCAGAAGCACCAGAACACTCGTCAGCGGATATTGGTTGATACATGTACCTTACACAGAGGCACGCAGTTGTTACTCGAGCCTTTTCAGCTCCAACGCCCCTTGATAGAGACCATTTCCCCTACGATACCTAGATGTTTGTCTTTATTAGCATAGAATAAAAAGCACAAATTTCGTCCATAGAATCTGAAATTCAGTGTATCATTGCCTCTTGTCTCCGAGCCAGTGAAGATCACATGAATATATTGTGAGTCGTTGAAAGTGACAACTTGGCTGATACAGTGGCCACAGCAATTGCCTAATTGGGCATTGGGGGAACTGTGGCGCTAAATTAACGCGTGCACCAACTGGAAAACGCGCTGCACGCGTTCAAATTAATTGACAGGTCTAGGTCTAGGTTAACCATCGCCAACCTCCATTCTCGAAGGGCAGGCAAAACATCGCGACCCCTTCCGCCTTCAAACCACGTAATGCACCATTAGGCATTTTAATAAACGCACTGCTGTTGAGGCTGTGCATTTCTCTGGTGTTTTTCTCCGCCACAGGCCGAACAATGGAACTCGATGCAGCTTCTGCAGGCCAAAAACGAAGTCTTGACGAACACGATCCCGACACAGCTGCAACGCCCACAGCAGCCTCGAAGAAGCGCAGGATTGATGGAGAAAACGCAGGCTCTACGACGCCAGGCGCCTTGAGCACCATCGCCTCGGCCATCTCGGGCGTTTTTGGATACGGCAAAAAGGCTGCCGAAACGCAGACACCGACCGATGCCGCGGCGAATGGCGTCTTCTTGCCAAAGCCACTGCTGCCGCTATCTACAACATCACCGAATAGGAGTAAGCCAGCTATCAAGCTAGCGGCTCTGATTGGGACGAAATGGGATACTGGAGACTTGATCAAGCCGTCGGCGGCGAAAAGGGGGAGAGGAGGGAGGCGGAAAGCGGCCCCCGTGCCGGATGCTATCTCAGCAACAGAATCGGCAGCGCCTTCAGGTAGAGGCAGGGGAAGGGGAAGGGGGAGAGGTAGCAGAGGCGGGAGAGGCAGCAGAGGAGGGAGAGGACGAGGCGGAGCCAGAGACACGGCCAGGAAAGAGGACGAGGCGGAGGACAGCATCGATGCCGTTGCAAACGAGGCCAAACCAGAAGCCGTGGCCGTGCCTCACGAATCGCCTTCAACGGTGCGCTCGATCAGGCGTCTCGACTTGATGCCGCTTTCCAATGGCATGCTTGACACTACAGCGGACGAGCTTTCGACGAATGAGTTCCCTACCGTCAGTCCTCTGAAGAGCAGAAGCCTCAATCTAAACCAGAGACTGGCTGAGTCAACGAGTGCCGCGTCGACGCCAAAGAGCATCCTATCTCCGACCAAGAAAGAGGGACCTCGGCCGCAAAAGAACGTTTCTTTCAACAAGAGCATCGATGCCGAAGCCACCACTGAGGTCTTTTTTGAGGACTTGCCCAAGGGGCCCAGCGCCAAAAAGAAGCCTGGTCGAAAGCCCAAGCAGGCTCAGCCTGTTGTTGCTGCCACGGATGAGATTGTATGCGGCGTGTGCTCTAGGCCAGACTCGCAAGCACCCAACGAGATTATCCTATGCGATAACTGCGACTTTGCTGTCCATCAAATGTGCTACGGAGTACGAGAGATTCCAGAGGGCGATTGGCTATGCAAGTCGTGCGCGCAGGAAGACGTCTTGGGACTGACCAAGAAACCGACTGAGGAGGCTTCTGAAACGGCTGCCAACCGGGTGACGGCCCCTGTTGTCGAGGTGCCGGAGATTCCCAACCTAGACCATCACTTGCGCACCCTGCAGAGAGTTCTCCTGGATCGGTGCAACGGCCGGAGGACGATTCGCATGTTCGGCCAGCAAGATCAATACGAGAAGGCGCATCAGCTCATTGAGCAGACTGTCGTGGCGGGCGAAGGAAACTCTATGCTCCTCATTGGTCCGAGGGGGTGTGGTAAAACAACGGCATGTACATGGAGCTGCTTGCTAACAGAGCTGATGCTAACGGTTCATCCAGATGATCAACAACATTGTCAAGGACATGTCACGGGAACATCGACAGGATTTCCATATTGTTAGGCTCAACGGATTCATCCATACAGATGACAAGCTAGCGCTGAAGGAAATCTGGAGACAGCTTGGAAAAGAGATGCAGGTTGACGACGACTTGCTGAACCGAGTGAGTAACAACATCATGTCCTCCGCCAACGACCAATCCCTTGCTAACTATTCACAGTCCAACTATGCGGACACCATGGCATCCTTGTTGGCACTGCTGTCCCACCCTTCGGAAATCCTGGGGTTAGATGAGGGAGTCACGTCGCAATCCGTGATATTCATCATTGACGAGTTCGATCTGTTTGCGACTCATCCCAGGCAGACGCTTTTGTACAACTTGTTCGACATTGCACAATCCCGAAAGGCGCCCATTGCGGTCTTGGGCTGCACAACGCGCCTCGACGTGGTGGAGATGTTGGAGAAGAGAGTCAAGAGCCGGTTCAGCCACCGATATATTTATTTGTCTTTACCCAAGAATCTAGCGGCTTTCTGGCAAGTGTGCCGACAGGGGCTCATGCTCGGGGATGTCGAACCGGAGGAAGAAGGGCTGGACCGGAGCGTCGAAGGATTCAGCGAATTCCAGGCGTATTGGGATCACAGGATTGAGGTCAGTAAAGTTTCTCCGCGCTCGGAAACTCTTCCGTACGGCTTCTTGTGCTAATGACGGCTTGGCGTGCAGGATCTCTACAAACAGCGAGCATTTCAGGACTTGCTACAGTACCACTACTACACAACCAAGTCGCCGTCGGCATTCTTCAACGAATGGATCTTGCCGCTCTCGTGGCTGACGGCGGGCAATCCCAACCTCAACATTCCCGCCGTCGGCTCAGAGTTGACGTCGCTGGCGCCGCCAGATTCGCGGCTGCACCTGTTGTCGACACTGTCGGAGCTGGATCTCGGGCTATTGATTGCCGCCGCCCGGCTCGACATTGTGGCCGACACGGACACGGTCAACTTTGCCATGGCATACGACGAGTACAGCACGCTGGCAGGGCGGCAGCGCGTACAGTCGGCTACGGCAGGCATGCTCGCGCAGGGCGGCAACGCGAGGGTCTGGAGCCGGGGCGTGGCGGCCGTGGCATGGGAGCGACTCGTGACGCTGGGATTGCTGGTGCCGGCGGGCGTGGGAGCAGGCAGCCGAAGCCAGGGACATGGTGGCCTGGAAGCAAAGATGTGGAGAGTGGACGTGGCGCTGGAGGAGATTCCGGTAGCTACGAAGTTGAGCACTGTTTTGGCCAAGTGGTGCAAGGAGATATGATTTCACGATTGTTTGTCCTGATTCCGTTTCCTTGACTGCTTCTTACACGCGGGCCTGGGCATGACCAAAGGGAATTTGTTTGTTTATTGTTTTATTGTTTTCTTTCTTCCTCTTTACTATCTGACTAGGGAGGAAACGCATAAGCATGTACGGAACAGGATAAGACATACACATGATAGACAGCCAAAAGGGGTACGAGGGAACGGGCCGTTCCTGGAACAATGACTCCAAGAAACGATACTAAATACATTAATTATGGTAACTTGTTGTTGATGAAGCCGTGGCGGCAGAGCATTTGATGCAAAATGGCCCGGATCATCTTTGCTGATCTCGGCCGAGTGATATAGTCTAAAGAAAAGACCCTTGATGCCACATGCCAAATCTTTTGAGCAAACAAGAGATTGTCAATTTTGATTTTTTTTGCCGCGGCCCAAGCATAGGGCATTTCCGAAAAGCTCACAAGAATTCCTCCTTTTCCTCGTTCCCTTGAAGAGAGAGCAGTCTCCATTGAAAGATTTGCTCCGTGCCGGACAAATTGATGCGTCCATAGGCCGGTCAAGAGAACCGACATCTCGACCTCTGCTCTCCCATGTCTTTTTAAGGTTGTATTAAGCATCTGATTACTTTGTCGCAACGGCGCCTATTCGAAAAGAAGGAGGGGCCAGAAAGTGGATCAAGAAAGAAGTTGTTCATTTCAGTTGGACTCAAGAGGCCAATATGCCGAATATACGAGCGGCCTTTGCATATTGGTGTTTATCAGTGGAGTAGTTTTTCTGGGGGCGGAATCAAGGTATGGAGAGGCGCGGGTTGGTTAATGCGGCCGTCGGGGTAAATCAAATGGGAATTTTTGGGTTGCTTGTGCGAATTGTGGTTTGGGCGATAGCCGGGCTAGTTTTGCCGGGGGGGGATAAGTAATACGTGTATTTTGCTGAGGAATGGGAGATGTGATTATTATTCGGGGATTCAAATTGTTTAGATGCCGGCGTTGTTCTTTATTTTGTCTTTTTTTTTTTGTGTTATTGTTATTCTTCTTTTGCAGCTGTTGGTGATGGTAGGATGGAGATGTATTGTTGGTGAAGAGACCGTGGGGTGAGGCGGCCGGGATGAATCAGACGCCGATTCTGCCTTGCCTTGCGTATCTGCAGATACCGAACTGCAGGTAACCGGGGAATGACATGTCAACAATGATTAGATACTAGGTAGGTAAATACTGCGAGTACTACGTTGAAAAGAAGGTGAATCAGAGAGAGAAGAAGACGGGCAAAAGCAGGTGTCAGTCAGTCACATCGGAAAAGGCTGCTAATGCATCCCATCAGCCTCGGATATCCCACCCGAACTCTTACTCGGCGCAGCCCAATCTCGAACTTCCAGAAGGGGCATTTCGTATACACGGCAGCCCTTGAAGCTAGCGGGAAGTTCGAGTAGCATTTGCCTAGAGCGGCACATCATCAATTCCCACGATGCCACTGTAGTGTTGCAGCAAAGAAGATGTAGCATGTGGAATTATCGATGACATGAAATCTTCCGTACCGCAGCAACCGCAACATCCGCAAATGTCAATCATGATGATTGTACAGTATTGCATGCAGCTTCTCCATAGCGAAATGGTAAGTAAGTGGAGGGGTTTTTTTTTTTCTGCTATTTTTTTACGAGCAAGAAGAAAAGAAACTCGGGAAGCCTCTTTTTGGCTCAGCCCTGTGAGCTTGTTGGTTCTGGTTTAGTCTGGTGTAGTCTGGTTGGGCCAAGCCCCCAACGAGAGAAAATAAAAGCGGGGCCGGAAGTCACTTACGCCAGAGGATTCTAAGAATAAACGGATGACTAAGGTGTTTGACGGGCGGAAAGCGAAACCAGGGGATTTATCTGTTTGGCTTTGAACATGGGAGGCAAAGTTGACGAGTAAACAGGCGGTCAGAGAGGGAGCAAGTAGCGAGTATTAACCAGTACCATTCAATTATATTCAAAGAATATGTTGATGTTGGTTTAATCAATGTTGATTAATTCAATCGAATTGTTCTTGTAAGCAACGAGCCGGATTCGATTCGATTCACGTGCGACCAGTCCCCACATTGCCCGAGCTCCGTCGTCGTCCGTCCTGAAGCAGCCAAACCGCAATCACTCTCCACCAATCAATCAGTTTGAAAGCTGCATCTCCGTTTCGTCACAGCCGCAGCGTATCAAATCATCCCCCCGGGGCGTATCTGCGTCGTCTCGTCGATTCGGCAGCGTTGCGGAACCGGTACCCAGTCTGTCTGTGTGTCCTTTGAATAGCCGACAAGGACCAGAGCAGAACGTGCCAATTGCCAGCCAACAGCCGTTGATTCAGTCAAGCCACTTACTTTCCGACTTGCGGCCCAACCAACATACCAACTACACACGAGCATCAACCAACAACAACGCCATTATTACAGATCAATACTGCGCAGATATTGGATACCCTGGCCGCATTCATCCGCCAGGGACCCAGCCAGAGCCACCCCCGGGCTGACGCCTGTCAGCACAAGCGCCGCTCCAGCCTTTTTCTCGCCCGCCCAAGAAACCAAAAAAAGGGCCATTGCCAGCGCTTTCTTCGTTCGTATCTTCTTTTTTTTCGGGGCAGCAATTTCCGGCGGCTATCCCAGTCTTACGGGATTTCTCCCATTTAATCGCGGTTATACTAGCGCTGCTATTAACAGGCCGCATTACAAAAGCAAAGCAGTCCAAGTTTGACTGGGGATCAATATCGACCAACCTCGTACTAAACTCTATTCATCTTCTCTCTCTCCCCTTCTTCTTCCTCTCTTTCTCTTTCTCGTCTTCTTCTTCTTCTTCTTTATTTCGTCCCCCCGATCAGCACAGCACAGCACAGCACAGGCTCCGTTCGCTTGACGCTGGTTTTAGCGTCAGTCTGTTGGTGTCCCTTGCTTCAGCTCTGAAACGCCGCTTACAGTAGCATCCCATCCCGCCACCAAAAACCGCCCCGCGCCTTTGCTTGGGGGGCTCGTGATATCAGACACAAGGCCATTGTATCACCCGCTCCTTTGGACAAAGGCCGAAACAAATAAATCCATCCGCCCTGCGCCTCTTTTTTTTTTTTATTCTGTTCCTTCTCTTGGCTTGTTTTTCCCACCATCGAATCTGCTGCTACATAGCACAAAGTCGCAGAGGAGGTTTCAGTCGATCAGCTACAGTACAAGACGACACAGACACAGCACAGCTTACACGCAAGCCCAACATGTCGAAACGAACAGTCTTCACCTCCATCACTCCCCTCCCCCCCGGCATCTCCCGCCAAACCGCCATCGACTTCCTCCACAACCACCGCGACATGATCGACTTGAATCCCCTGGTCACCGACCGCCACGTCATCCCGCCTCCTCCCCACGCCCTGCCCGAAGAGCACGTCTGCACCTGGTACTCCATCACCGACAAGATCTCGTACCTCCCCGGCAGCCTCGTCACCGGCGCCATCTCATATACCGCCGCCTTCCACGACCTGCCCCTGGGCCTGCAGACGCACTGCCACGCCCCCATGGGCGTCGACCTGCGCGAGAAGTGGACGGTGGGGGGCTCCGAGCCGGGGGAAGACCCGGAACCCATGGAGCTGGGCCTGGGAGCGCCGCGGTCCGGCCTGTACATCCGGGAGGATGTCGTCATCACCTGCAACGTCATGATGGCGAGCTTCATCAAGAAGACGATCAAAAAGGCCCACGGCACCCTGATTGAGGCGCTGTCTGTCAAGGCTGCCTCGTCAGGTGCTCCGCCAGTAGCAGAGTCGCAGGCCCAGATGCAGTACCGGAAGCAGACGCCGTATCCCCAAAGCGCACAAACCGCGCAGGGGCAGCAGCTCAGGTCGCTGAGGCTCGAAGAACTGAGAAAGCCACTGCCTCCGCGGCCAACCTCGTGGCAAGCGCCGCCGACGCCGCCCATGGCATCGCTGTCGACCGAGGCGTTTCAGTATCGCGACCAGGAGCTGGATACTTCAGGCGTCGACTATGCATACCCGCCAGAGCCATTGGCTCCCCGCTCGATGAGAACGCCTCCGCATGCCTACGTCCCGGAGCTGCTGTAAATGGCTGGTGCTCATCCCCGGTTTGACAAATTTGTCTTGGTTTGGATTTTTTGGGAAGTTGGATGTAATAATTCGTGAGGACATGGTTCCCCGAGTCTCATGTCATGTGCTGGATAACGTGATGGGTCCGGAAGCAATAGAAAGCGACAGCAATTCCTTTTTTCTTTTTTTTAACTAGGAATTCACCTTGGGTTGAATGCGTGGCGTTGGCGGTAAAAGGGAGAATGTTTATATATTTCAAACAGGGCTTATTAGCGTTGAGAAGCTCTCTCTCTCTCATCTCACATATAGGATAGGAGGGAAGTCGGCATTTGGAGAACAAGTCAATCACTGCGAATCACATTTACACAAAGCAAATGAGTAAAAAGAACAATGATTTTGCATTTGAAACATACAAACAAAAGACTCTTCACTCGGCAAAAGCAACACTACACGTCGATGCCCTTCTATGCTGAATTAAAAAAAGAGGAAGAAGAAGAAGAAGTAATCACCCCCTGATAAGAAGAAGAAAAGGAGCTCACAAGTTGAAAAGAAAAATTTCTATCCCCAGAGAAGAACGAACGAATCCTAAAAGAACACACCTGTCCAAAAAGTGAAAAATAAAAAATAGCAGAAGGGCACCCGTATTTTATCTTATGACCCCAACCACCCCGTCCTCTAAACCTCCCAATATCTCGTGTGTGTTACTCCCACCCAAAGTGTCATCCTCTTCATGCTCATCATCATCCTCCACATGTCCTTCCCTCCACTCGTTGCCACAAAAAAAACATGCTGAGAAGGAATCTGTTTACAATGCCATGACGCCGACGAGGAGCGCGCCGAAAACAGCGGCCCCGACGTGCACGAAGCTCGTGGACGCGCCGCTGACGGTGACCGGGGGAGGGTGAGGCTTGGGGTCCTCGGGCTTCTTGGGGTCCTCGGGCTTCTTGGGGTCTTCGGGCTTCTTGCCGTCCCACTCGGGCTTCTTGGGGTCCTCGGGCTTCTTGGAGTCCTCGGTGGGCTTGGGGTCCTCGGGCTTCTTGTTGTCCCACTCGCCCTTCTTGGGGTCTTCGGGCTTCTTGGGGTCCCATTCCTTGTTGTCCCAGTCCTTGTTGCCGTCCCACTTGGTAGGGGGCTTGACGGTCTCGGTAGGGCAAGGCTGTGAAAAAAAAAAAAGACGTGAGAGTTAGCATGGTGTTTGTAGTAGCTGTATAAGGGGTGGGGGGGAGAAGAGTTTACCTCAATGACGGTGCAGGGGCAGTCGGTGATGGTGAGGGTGGTGGCCTTTGTGACAGTGTACGTCTTCTTGTTGACGGTGAGAGTGGTAGGCTCCGGGCAGTAGGTGGTGTACTGGGAGACAATCTTGGTGGTGGTGTAGGCAGACTTGGTCTTGTTCCACTTGTTCTCCCACTGCTCGTGGCCGTCCCAGTGGCCATCATACTTGTCGTTGTTGTCGCCGTCCTTGTTGTCCCACTCCTTCTTCTCGCCGTCCTTGTCCTTGTTCTCCCACTCCTTGTGCTCGCCGTCCTTCTCCTTGTTCTCCCACTCCTTGTGCTCGCCGTCCTTGTCCTTGTTCTCCCACTCCTTGTGCTCGCCGTCCTTGTCCTTGTTCTCCCACTCCTTGTGCTCGCCGTCCTTCTCCTTGGGGTCATACTCCTTGTTCTCCTTGCCCTTGTTCTCCCACTCCTTGGGATCGTACTCCTTCTTCTCGCCGTCCTTGTTCTCCCACTCCTTGTTGGCGTTGGGGTCATACTCCTTGTGCTCCTCCTTGTCCTTGTCCTTGTTCTCCCACTCCTTGGCGTCATACTCCTTCTTCTCGCCGCCATCCTTCTTCTCGCCCTCGTAGTCCTTGTGCTCCCACTCCTTGTGCGAAGGGTCAATAGCATAGTACGACGGGCTCGGGTCAGGGTACGCCGGCCTGTTCTCAGAAACAGACGGGTAGTAGATGTTGCCTGCGGCGGCAAAGCCCACAAGGGACACGAGGACAGCCTGGGCGCTACGCATCTTGATTCTTCTGTGTGGTTTTTTGTTTTTTCAAACTGTATGCCGAGAAGCGAGTGACACTACAAGAATAAAAAAGGTTGTAGTAGGTATAAAAATCTCGGTCTCAAAAAGAGTGAAGAGAGAGAGAGAAAAAAACGAATGTTTCAAGGGAAAACGAGAAAAGCGAATGTGAAGCTGATGCGAATGATGGAGAGAGAGAGAGAGAAAAGAAAGGACTCGAAGCCATCTCAACGGGGGGTTTATATAATGCTCGAGGCGAGGGGACGAAGCCATAGAATCATCACGCGCAAAAAAGTGCCCGCATCAGAAACAGAAACGAAACAAAACAAAAAACATATTCCAAAGCTCTCTCGAAATGTGAGGCAAAAAAAATTCGCCCGTCTGCGTCCAAGACATGCTAGCCAACAATCCAAAAGCAGAGAGGGAAAAAAAAAAACAAAAATAGTACTCGCAGCATGTCAAACGAAGAAGAACCAACTTAAGAGATGGCATATCCCACATACTGCAGACAAACACTCGCCATTTCTGCGCCTCAGACATTTCTCTCCCTTCCCATCGTCTTCGTCGGCTGTCCAGCCCCCTCGCGAATGCTTCAACTCCAGCAAATGCGACGATCGTCCTCCTTCCCGCATTCCTCTGCCCGCCGAAAGCAAATTACCCATCATGCCAGTTCTTCCATCACGTTGCCTCAGTTGCCGCAACCGCCCGCCCCAGCCTCTCATTTTCCTACATTCCCAAGGCAAACAAACGACGAAGAAAAACATTCACTTTCACGCTATGGCGCAATCCTTGGAACTCTTGACGCGTGCGGGTTTGATGCATTTTTATTTCCTAGTCATGGGAATTTTGACTCGGGCTTATTGCCTTTATTTCTCGTTTCATCGCAGTCCTTGGGGACCGTAGTGTAGCATACATACATGGTACTCAAACATACATTGTGCCGGCAGGCTCTCGCAATTGTCCATCGTTGACGCCCATTGCCGTTGCCGTCGCAGTGTCTCGAATTCCACCACAGGCCCGTACAGGCGACACGATTATCTCCCTGCCTCGGTAATGTAGAGCGCGTCGATACCGATTCGCGCAGACCAGCCCGAAGCCATCCTTTCATCACGGCCGCAAATCACCCTCCCCCAAATTCCGACCAATACACCCCTTTGTCAGAAATGCAAAGTCAACTGCAAAATAGATCAAAACGAGTACACACTAAACAAGCCGCCATGTTGTGCCGTATTCGTTGCCATGCGACCTCTCTTCTATACCAGGTTTCCTTAAACGCCTTCCACTCTTGCTTCTTTTTTTCTCTTTTGTCCAAATCAAAAATAAAAATCAAGAAAAAAAACTCAACCGGTCGTAGCAACCATTAAGAATCCATCCTGGCGGTGAAATCAAAGCTGAGACAAAATGCGGCATGTCGTACGTACAAGATGTGTACGAACATGTTGAGAGCGGGAAAGAGGGGAGGAAAAACAAATGAGAGCAAAACAAAAACAGAAAAAAAAAGTGGCAAATGACACTATGAACACCGGTTCGATGCAGATATGAGAGCAGAAATCTAGTAGGTATCAAGTCGTGCCGCCCTTTGACAAAGCAAAATATAGTCAACCCTGGAACAAATAGGGAAATTAACAAGAGGAAAAAAAAATATGCGGAAAAAATATCGAGTCATATGCCGGTGAATCGTCGCAATCGTGAAAGGCCGTGTTGGTTAACACGCCTATCATCCGTCGTGAGCATGCGCCTTGGAAGGCCCATTACTTTCGGTTGGAGCGACTCAGGCTCCGCTCGACACCTCGTGAAGAGCCGTCAAGGTTAAAGTTTTGCAGCTGCTGCTCATACTTGGCGTTGCGCAGAAACTTGGGTACGGAGTCCTGTGATGGCATTGTTAGCAAATAAAGAGGGGTGAAAATTTTGCAGGCAGGGAGTACTCACACTAGCCATCAACTTGAAGACGGCGTTTTGCGCGTTTTCAAATAGCGAAGTGACCTCTTGCAACGTCTCAATCATGCCATTCTCCTGGCCAACGGCCTTGGTCATTCTCGTCGCCAAGTTATTTCGCAGCTGGTGGTCAATGTTGAGTTCGCAAGGCGAGCCCGGAGCCAGGAAGGCGTTGTAGATGCCGTAGGCTTGGGCCATAATCTCCTTGATGATATCCATGGAATTGTTGGAGGGGTTGGCCTCGGCTTGTCGGATGGCCGTCTTACAGTTTGTGACAAAGTCGTTGACGTCCTTGTAGAAGGAAAGGTTCTCCTCGCAGTGCGTTTCCCTCAGGTTCTCGCGGAACAGGAGGCGGAGGGCGGGGTCGTTGAGGATCTTCTCGAGACGCTGCGTGTTGGAGTCGCGAACGACGCCGTTGCGCTGTGAGCCAGTGCCAGCCTCGCTCTCGGATGGGCGGCCGCGCGAGCTGGTGCCGTTGATCACGTCCTTTCCTCGTTGCGAGATTTGGTAGACAGCATACTTGGTCGGTTGGAACAGATGACAGCCGGGGTTCTGCAGCATGAACGATCTGTCCTGGACCACAGTATCTATCAACTCAAACTCGACGAAGAGGGACGCAATCTCAATGGCCTCTCGCTTGTCCACAATGGTGCAGCAGTCCACCAGCCAATCCGAGGTGGCCTTGCCGGTAAAGGTATCCTTGTGCACCTTTCCGTTTACCCGACGCTCATTGGCCATCTTGACACCCGTGAGGCCATCCTCATAATCGTGCAGGGAGTCCGAGTCGGCTGCAGCCACGTTGGGCTTGACATTGCGGGCCTCGGAACCGACAAATCGGCGAAAGATGACTTCGACAGTGCCTCGGTCGCTGAGGATCTTGTCGCTGTGCTGCTCCCTCTCCAGAATGACGAGAGAGCAGCAGTGGAGGCTGACTAGCTCGGCGACTTGCTTCTGCTGAATGCCGTTCCTAGAGCAAAATCGATCCAGAATTGCAACGCCCTTGGCCGTTAGCTGCCACACTGAGCCCTTCATGTTGTAGACTGGCTGCATCTTTCCGTCAGCAGACTCAATGAAGCGGGCCTCGACAAATCTTTGGCAGATTGAGCGAGCCATGTCCTTGGCCATGGAAAAGGTGGTCGTGGTTGTGGTGGTGACGATTCTTGAGGGATCCTTGGGGTCAGGCATGCGGTTGGACTGGGAGAACTTGAGCGATCCCAGGTTGTTAATAGCATCCTCGGACAGAAAAGTGTAGTCCACCTTGGTCAACCGCACTCTGTGGGAACCAAGAGGCAGAAGGCTGACAATCAGTGTGGAGAAGAGATCCTTGAAATCCTGTATCTCGTGTTAGAGGCATAAAAGCACGGAGTTGCGAAAAAAGGATTGATGAAGGGGAAAGACATGGGGGGATATTGACGACAGAAGATCGCCAACGGCCCAGTCTGTCTACAAAGTGATGCGTGCAAAACGGCTTGTCTTGAAATGAGTAGTAGTAGTTGTAGTAGCAGCAGTGGTAGCTACAGGGGAGAGAAGGGGAGGGGAGGGTGAGGGTGAGGGTAAGAGTAAGTGAGATGAGCGTCAAGTGAGATGAAACATACTCTTGTGAAAGGCCGGTCATCGTCGGTCATGCGCAACAAGCGCGAGGATGTCTGATGCATTTTGTTTGGAGATGAGGATTCAGAGGACAGGCCAGTAGAAGGCAGGGTGGGAGAGTGCTGGGCGGATGAAAAGGACGACTGCTTGCCGTCTCCCGGGTTGGACAGCAAAGACTGGCTGCTCGGGTAGTTGAAGGCGGTTGGCCGGTCAGGGCTTGCGGGCTCGTCCCTCAATTGATGCGAGGGCGCAGTGAGCGAGAGGCGAGCAAGCGTCGGGTTGGACTGGCGGTTCCGGATGACGGGCTCTGAGATGCTGGCAATGACGCTCTGCGTTCTATCCAAGGCGGCAGCCGCACGTGAGAGGATGCTGCTCGTGGTCCGCTGGTGGCGTGGCAGTGATGATGAGCCTATCGAGACGGAGCTGGCGTGGCGGCGTGACTGTGAGACTGGAGGTGGAGATTTGGTGGCCTCGAAGCGACGCTCTGCTGGTGCTGGAGACGGTGATGGTGCTGGGGCTCGCGAGACGCTCGTGAGAGACTGAGTTCGGTCGGGTTGCTGTCTCGATGAAGGAGGCAGAGGCTCGACGATTGTGTTTAGAGGTTGCGACAAAAAGGCGGCCATCTGTGGGAACAAGAGAAAAGAGTTAGAAAGTTTGGGGAGATTTGAATAAAAAAAGATCAATGGTGACCTTAGAACTCCTTTGGGGGTGTGTACGCTGAAAACAGGCCTGGCAGAAGAAGGTACATGGACGGGTAGAGGGTACTTTGCAGTGCAGGGGGACGGACGCTGCACCCTCGCGCGCTGTGGAACGGGGGGTTATGCTGGAGGGGGGGTGGCTCCAGCGCATGAGCCTGGGGTCTCTAGCGCGGGCTGGCGTACCAGGTACTTCGCTGGCCCCTCCGAGAGCCCGTGCAGCGACCAAATGGGCTGATGGGGGAGATTGAGGGAGCTTCGACAAGGAGAACAAGGCCCGGGAGAAGCCGAGCGTCATGTCAAGGCTGCGTTGCTTTGGCTTCAATGCGTCTCTTTCATCTTTTGGAGGATATTGGGATTGATCAGATGGCGAGAGGAGAAGGAGGCAGTGGGACGGCGCAGGCGAGATGAGGGAGACAGAGAGAGGAACGAACTCGGACTGACGGGCTGTGTTTCGACCGCGGAAACTCCTGCCAAGTACGAGTATGTGTGTGCGAGTCTGCGTTTCTGTGGACAGACAAGACTGACAGACAGACAGACAATGCAATGCAATGCAGGATCCAAGTACGAGTTACATGTACAAGGCCGCAGGCAATGGCGTACATGTATCGATTTTGTCGCCAAAACTGGCTCTTGGACTTGGACTTGGGACTTGGACTTGGACTTGGGAAGAGGGCGGGATGTGGGTATGCACTAAACCGAGCTTGAAACTGTGAAGAAAAAAAAAAAAAGAACATCAACCCCCCCATGGACATGGACAGACACAAGCAATTGATGCAGCGGGGCGGCGCCAGCAGGAACAGGTCCACAAAACGACCCGTTTATTACATTTGCTGTGAGGCGACAACTGACGAGTCGTCGCACTTCTGCAAGTCCCACAAGAACCACGTTTTTGTGGGAAGAAAGCAAGGCCAGTGTCTGGTTTTGGCGCTGTGCTCGTGGCACGCACGCACATACATACAGATACTTGTGCAGGGTGCAGGGTTGCAGGGTACAGGGTAAAGGGTAAAGGGTACGGGGACAAGGGCGAAGAGAGGCAGCAATCGGTTCATACTCGTACAAGTACTGTACAGAGGTAGCACCAGTAGAGGAACCGGATGCGGTGCTAATGCCGGTGACAAGAGCAGCAAGCAAGGAGCAACTTCTCCAAGCGGCAAAGGGCTTTGCTTTGACGGGATAGCATCGTCATCGTCACCGTGATCATCACTATCAGCTCTACTGTATCAGCAGCATCAGCATCAGCATCAGCATCAGAGAAACGCATGCTTCACTTCATGCCCCCCCAATGCCGTCCCCAAGACCCTTATGAGGCACTCGTACAGTACTAGCACACGCCACTTGCGTGCCATGGAGCGACTCTTGGCTTCCCAAGCGCCGGGCCGCTGTGCGTGCTGGCTGCTTTCGAGAACAACGACCAGCATCATCCATTTTGCATTGCCCAGCTCTGCCGTGGGGCCAGCTGACCCTGGTACTTGCGCAGTAGCGGTAAGAACGCTGCTAGCACGAGTACACGTCCTGGCGTGGAGAGCCGGGCTTGCGCTTTTCAAAGAGACAAATGTCCCGAGCACAGAGGCTAGCATGTTGCACTTGTGTCATACCAGCGAGGGAACAGGACGAACGAAGAAGGGGGAAAACTGCGTCTGGATCCCAATGATCGACCAAGGCACTAACCAGGTCTTCCCTGGGACGAGCTTTTCTTGCCCTCTTCCGCCCCCCAAACCCCCTTGTCGCAATGCTTCCAATTGCCTTCTTTCTTCTCTCTTTCGCAAGAGGCGTTCGGTGACTATCCGAACCACCGTCGTCATCTGAGCCCTATGGCGCAGGAGATTTTTACTCTTTACTCTTCTGGCGGGCATAGAACGACTCCGTATTCCGCCATTGAGTAAACGGCGTGCTCCTAGTAAATTGAAGGTTCATGCACGTCTTTCCAGGGTAGCAGCAATTAGCAGCAGGTTTCCCTAATGTGACAAATGTGATTTGATATGTGTTTCGACCCGTCATGGCGACTTCACCGCCAACGGAGAAAAAAAACATAAAAAAAAAAAAAAAAGGGCCAGCTAGTGACTGGAGATAGTGCCCACAAGGGGACCACCCCATCACACAGCCTTTTTCTTCCTTTTTCTCAAGGTATTCCAAAAACGGGTAGAGGGCTGGAGGAGGGTGCGCCGGACTAAGAAGAAAAGAGAGGAGAGAGACCAAGTACGAGTAGAAACATTTGCCACCTACCGAAGCTACCTAGTACTCGTACCGCGCAAGTGGTGGTAGCTGAGAGGGGGAGCCGGGGTAAAAAGAAGCGGTGCAAAATCGGTGACGCCGTGATGAAGCAAACTTGGACCAGCTTCGCGATGTCCGAATGATTATCCGGCTTTGTCCCTGGCCTTTGACCTTTTTTGTTTCAGCTCGCCGCGGGTTTTGGACTTGCCAATTGAGACTTGCTAGAGGGCGTCGTCGTCGGTTTGTCTATGCGTGATGGGCTGGGACATTCCTGTACAAGCCTGGAGAGTTTATTGTCTGGGTCTTGCCTCTTATCAGCCATATTCGCATTAGCCAGAGACGCCCCATGAAGCTAGTTGGATGGGTTTCACATTGTCATGTGGCCACAGGGAGACGCCCCATTCTTCATCTGGACGGGCCAATGAGGAGGGTGTGCAGCTGCCGTCCATGGCTCTTCTAGAAGCGGACGCAAGTTTGCGCTGTTAGGGGCAAGGAGGATCATGGCGATATGATATATGCCGGGGTGTGATGTGATATGATAGGAAGAACGGACAAAGAGGGAATCACATTATTCACCTTTATGACCATGCACGCTCTCTCGTGGTTGGCTGGGAGCCGTTGCCTTGGCTTTCTGCGATAATCTGGGGTATGCCTTTTCCGGGAATAAGTCTCACTCTCTGCGTCTCCCTGCAGAAAATCGATAGCAGCATAAGCCCACGAGTAATCCGTATGTCGTCGTCGGAATCCGGTATATCTCCGGCTCAAGCAAATACCAGAGGCAGGTTATTTTTTCCTCCTCCTCCTCTTCTTGTTCCCTATTTTTCGGCAAGGACGAAATAGGTGGTAAGCAAGACAAGGATGGTTTTTAAAAAGGCGAATGAAGATGAAATGAAAAGCTTCAATTGAAACTAGCTCGCGTATATTCGTTGCCGTTTCTTGGTGGACGTGCGCAAGTAGAGGGCAGAGGCGATGACCGAAGGCGTCAAGCTTGGTTCATGAAAGAAAATACTCGGAACCCTAAAATCACAGCTGCTCAGGGAGGCTATTTAGGGATTTTCGGAGCGAGCGGCAGCTGAAACGAAACAGGGCCCGGCAACTGTTGGAGTCGTTTGGACAGTCAAAGGGGGCCACCCGGAATACTGAAGAAAGAAAATCAGGAGAGGCGCGGAGCAAGCGGCATCATTGCCCGTGTTCCTTGTTCACCCAGGGACAGCTTCATATTTTCCCCTGAAGATGTCACAAGAGGGGCGCCCCGGGATCACTTATACACCATGCACCTGGGCAATCACTTGCTAATCAACAGAGAATACCTATAGCACGATCAACGCGTGCCATCTCGAGTGCGTGTGCTACTGCTAAATAGATGAGATGATCATCTTGCAGCGGTGTGACGAGCCCAGCCCTATCTGTTCCCGCAGTTTATTAGTCGCAATTGCTCCTTTTGGCCAGTACCCGTACTTGGCGATGTTTCAGGAGGATGCTCGGACTGCGATTGAGCACCGCCATCCGAGGCGCACGTTGGGAGCCTGTCTGCCACTCTACTATAACAGTAAAGTATGTTCGGGCATGTCAGATTGCGCTTACTTGGAAGACGCGGGCTTATTACCACGTTGCGCGCCAGGCAGAGGCTAGCTAAGCCTTAAGTATCAGATCGTTTCTTTTTTGCCGATCTGCCAAGAACCCGGAGCGCAAGATCTTAAGCTCATCTCCTGCTGCCGCGTGTACAGAGTACGGAGCACTCTACCTCCCGGATCTGATAATTGCCCAGTTCGTACGACTCAGTTGCAGACGGCGTGGTAAGCCTGCCTGCGCAGCTTGTTTGCATCCCATGCCGCGGGCTAGCCTGGCCCATGGGCACAATTCTGTCCTCGCGTCGAAGCCATGGCGTGTTGCAGCTCGCGCCCTATTGTCCCATTGACGGGCTGAAAAGACCCTGCGGCTCCGAGCTCGTATTTGGGTGTTGAAATGCGACAGGCATGCGGTAGCTAGTACTAATGCCAAGGCTGGTAGAGTCGGGCTTGGATTCTCCCCGATATTCTTTCCGCGCTAGAGTCAGGTAAAGGCATGTAATGAATTGGTTACATACATGTATGCATTTCTCGGGGTGCACGGCGCATCAACCACATCGCAGTCGGAGTCGGATTTCTCTCGGAAACGCAAGAGTTGTAGGGTAGGTCACTTTTACCTAATGTGCTTTGTGAAGACGAAGCTGCATACAACATTGCCACCTTGGTGAATCACGCATCGTGTGACTGATACCAGAGGCAGGCAATCGGATGCAATGGATCAATTCGCCATTCGTTCTTATCCGACGGCTGGGCGTTTTGCACAGGAATGCGGATGTCGAGGCCGAGGCTATTGTCAACAGGAACAAGCTTCGAAACCCAACTTTGGCTCGCGACTTGCCACTTGGCGTAGCTAGTAAACGAAACCATTCTGCCACCTTGGAGAGCATACCCGAGCGGGCGTTATCCCATCTTGTCACAATTCGCTTGCCACTGGGAACCCTTTTCGTTGTCAACCAACCCTCTCGGGAATCGAAAAGATGGATGCGGCATGTCGCATCAGTGGAGAAGAGTGCCATCATCCTATCGGTCGTCTGTCAATCGACGGATATGTAAGCAAGGCAAAGCTTGTCGACGGTACTGGTGTGATATGACTGCGGGGAGAGCGGCCAACAGGTTGGCCAGCCGTGCTACTGTACTGCTGCCACG